ATTCTTTGCTACGCAGACAAAAACAGATCCATCATCCGATTTTTGAATATTTCTAAATATTTCTCTATACAAAAAAGGAACTATAGAACAAAAAAGAGTTTACCGAATTTCTAATGTGCCATTTTCATAAATAGTCGTTCGATCTTCTCTTAGTTCAACTAATACCGACGAAGATAGATCTTGTTTCCATATCAGATTATAATCCTTTGTATCTTGTTGCACAAGACAGTCAATCATCACTGTACTATTGATCAATGCAAATAAAGATTTTGAAGGTATAATCTGAACCACCGGCGGTGCAGCTATATGCAGTGAATGCTAATCAGTAATGACTTCTGTACCTACAACACATACCGAGTACATCAACTTGAATCTCTCCAATGTCAAAACCACTTGTGCTTGTTGCATTACAAAGATACAATCCTTCGTCATCAGTTTCCAATGGTTGATCGATGGAATACTCAACTGTTGTTATATCAGCACTAAAGAATCAACGGAACAGATGAAAATAATCGTAATTAGCTCAACAATTTGTCTAAATACGGATGATTGGATGTTAAAAGCAATTGTCCGTTCTTGAACCATTTCACTTGATATGAAAGTTGACTTTGAACATGACATCGAAGTTTTGTTGGAATATTCGATGGAATTTGAATAGAATTCATCTCGACGTTAACAACTGGTTTCAATGGGACGTAAGATGTTAAAGCTGTTGAGCTCAATCGTTGAAAACGATGACCATCGCTGTCAATACCAGTTAACTACAAATGAAGAGATTGTTCTCTTTTGTTCAAGTTTACGAAATAAAACCGATAGTATGTACTCGAATATAGAAGAACGAACTGTGTACAGGTGGTTGAAATTTATTCATCGTAGAATAGAATGTTGGCAGTTGTGGATTGACTTGGATAGGCTCGTGCACAAGAACATTACCGAATAGATCGAGTAATTCAATCTGTTTAGCATCACGGATGTCATCCACATGGTTGACTTCCACGATTAGATGAGTTAGCGAACCTGAATTGACGGAAATGAGAGATTTTGATGATTAAAATGAAAATTACCTTGGATCGGTTGTCGCCGTGTTCGAATTAAATCTGTCATTGGATCCATCGAAAACCCATGTCGAAATGTCAATCGACTGAGGCCTGTGATTCGAATCGAATGTGCAGATGAAGATGTTACTTGAATATGCCATTGGCCAATCTAAATTCACACGAAATATCTCTATCAAACATGATGGGTCGATCATTTACCATCGGATGTTTAATATTGAGAATATAAACCTCTTTCAGACGTAAAAGGCGGGTAAACCAATCCCGCGGATTCAATGTTTTGTCTACCGAACAAAAAAGGTGGAATGGGATTAAAACTAACAAAACATACTTGTCGGATCAACTAGAATCACTTGCGGATTTGCACCGCTCACTGATATTGTAAATTCTACAAGTTTCGAATCAACTGCCAGTGTGTAATTTTCTTTATTTCGCTTCATTCGATCGATAACCAAGAGATTAACTTTCCGTGTTTGAGTCGTGTATTGAACAAAGTTAAGTATCTATTGAAAATTAAATTCACGTAAGATTTTAGTGCATCTTTGTTCGACAAAAAACATACCTCGCTGACTTGTTTCTTATGCAAAGTAAATACTTGTCCGCTACTAGTCGCAGCGATTTTATGAAATATCTGGTAGCCAACATGATTTTGATCGCCGCAATCACCAGTCATAACAAAAACAACCTTTAAAACATCGATCAGCAAAAAAGACTATGAAAAAATTCCATTAGCTTACTTGACTCTGCTTTTCTTGAATCAATTTCAATACAATATCACCTAACTTATAATCTTTCGAACGAGCATCTGTAAACACATATATGAAAGAATTGGGTAATGATTGTTCCAAAGCTAATTTAATGGCTGTAATCGTCATTTCCGGACAGTCACCACCGCCTTGTACAATCAGCTCCTGTAGACCACGTTGAAAGCGTGTTGAATCACGTGTTTTCAATACAGGTCCAACGTCTAAATATCAAGAATACACTTCGGTTCCTCTTCTGTTCTCTCTTCTCTATACCCGGATCAGCAAACGGAATGAGAATATAGTCATAGATCGAATGTTCTCGTCGAAGAGTTGCATTATAGATATGCGTTGCGCCTTGAATAACTTGCAAAAGATCGTCATGCATAGAACCGGTGACATCGAATACAAACGTCACACTGGACGTTCCTAATGGTGGATTGATTTGTTTAGACGACGGAATCCACACTAACAGGATCAAAGCAAGTATTGTTCTCATTTGTATTTACTTCGATATTAAATGTATACGAGCTGGTATAACCATCGATTAAATATGTATATATGCTCGCTTTTTCTTTTCTCATTCAGTTTCTTTGTGTGTATGTGTATGTGTGTGCAAAGCCTTCAGGATGTGTTCAATCGGCAAATGAGAACGGATGAACGATGACCTAACAGATTAAATCAATGTGTTACTACTAGTTCGATCATCAAGATATATTTATGCATGCGTGCATGCATGCATGCACGAATAAAATGACTAGCGGTTAGATGAACTTAAGGTAAAGTTATTTCTTATTTTGTCTCTCGTCTTTCTCATTCACCATGTATGTGCGAACAATTGATTCTCATTTAGACACATTAGCCTTCAGGTAAAACATGACTGTTCAATTAATAATAGAATCAATAGTAGTCAAAACACTATCATCACGTCATAGAATGGCTTCACAAGGTCAAGACGGTTAGCAATTGTACTAAGAGGGCGATATAAATATAAATATATATATTCAGCAAACAATCATCTCATTTTCGTATCCACCGACGTCAAATGCTAAGGAAAAGAGCCGCCATGTCTATTGAATTTTAACTGCTGACGCAATATGACTTCATTTATAATTAACTCTTTCGTAAAATGAGGGAAAATTATTGATTATATATAATTTATTCATCGAATAAGAATAAAAAGCTCAATCTTGTTAATCATCGACACAGGAATGAGGAGTAGAGAACAATTTTCTCATTTAATATTTGATTTATATCCTGTCAGAGAATGTTGTTTTTCAAAGGCAAGTCAATACTACACCAGATCTAAATGCATGACTCTACTGCGTCCTGATGTCGCAATATTTCCAAACTTCTTTGCATATGCACCAACGCCTCAAATTATTCATCACGTCATTGAGTTCTTTTCAGTTAGTTGTGGCAACTATATACATATATATATATATATATCCGAGGTAGATATATTCACGAACGTGAGTGGCATTAAAACGAGAATGTATATCCGAATAAATAAGGTAAATGTTTCTTTCATCAACGAGAATAACCGCACCAGCATCCCGTTTAATGACAATAATGCGTGCGAAGTCAGATTGATCAGTCTGCATGTTTAGTAATATTTCGTTGCGTTCCGATTACCAGATAGAGAAGAATAAGTCAGCTCAGAAAGTGCATCGAATGATTATATTCTTGTCTTGTTTCTTGCCGATGCCTGAGAGAGTCAAATAGATTTGGGAGAATAGAAGGATTGGCAGAACGTTCGTGTACGGTATACATATTTTCTCGTCAGAAAAAAGGTATTCGGATAGGAAGAGAAAAAAAAAGACAGAGAGAGAGAGGGGCTTCCGTCCTTCTCGGTGAATCGCATGTTTGACAGATAAAAGCAACATTCAACATTTTAGCTCTTCATTTCCAGAAAAAAGGAAGGTAAATGAATGTATTACTCTTGATTATAATCGTGTTCCTCTGAGAGAAAATATTTTGATGTTTAGCTGGATGTTCATCGTAGAAATCATCGAAAAAAAAACATATTAGCTGCCTCTCTTCATCTTCATATTGATAAGCAGAAGAGAATCTTGTCTTGTGAAAAAAAGATTCTTATTCAAATAATGATCTTTTTGAGAAGTAAGAAGAACTGATGTGTTAGACATTCATATTACAAGAGTGCGCGTATTCATGTTCTAGACGCCAAATTTCTCATGTGACATTCGTTGCTAGATAATTGAACACGAGAATGAATAGTTCTTATGACTGACATATATAAGCAGTAAAAAATGAGGAAAGAAACAAGGAAAAAAGCACGAACCATCGGCTTATACGCGTCTCTGATGCTTACAATAAGCATGTCAAACGAGTTAGATCTGTTCAAGTTGAATAATGAAAAGAATGACTCGGTAACCAATTAATAAGTTAGATAAAAGAAAGAAAAAGGAAGAAATTGGAGACAATATGAAGAGAACGTCTACTAGAGTCTTTTTTTTAGGTTAGATCAATTATAGTCCATTGTATAAGACATGCCCTACGGAGAAACAAGAATATTCCAGAAGCATAGTCGAAGCCTAACCATGCATTTCAGTAAACATCTCTATAGAACAAAAGAAACTGATGAAAATATATGGAAACTGTGCATGTTGAAAACAAAGTATGATGTAGTAATTGATTCATATGTATTAGATTGAAAGAGCACTTGAAAGAGCGATTTTTCTCTTTTTCTTCTTCTTTTCTGGTAAATCATTCGTTATAATATTCTCTTATGTGAAATGGAGAAGAGAAGAAAGCGAACACTTTATCTAGAAAGGGATCTATCGATAAACGAAAGATGAATATACAATGCTACAACTGACGTTGCATACTTCACATAATCACCGCCTATTTCTTGTCTGCTGATTTTCAATGTCGTAGGAACTTCGTCCTCTGGAAGAGTTCTATTCTTTGTTAGAATCAAACTCAACCTAGCTGCGCTAATTTGCGTTTCTTTCTCCTAATTCTTTGAAAATCTTATCGTATGCATCCGCTGTCAGGCGATACATATCCTTTTCCTCTTTTTTCTTTCTGCCAGCGTAAACCTGACGCATTATTCGTCAATATGTCTCTATCTCTTGATTATGAAGTGTTCTTTTAACGTGTATCTGTCGATATATTTACGTTAAATGTGTAGAACTCACTATATTCTCTCTTCTCTATTGTTTCAGTCGACTTTTCATGCATGTATTTATTAACAGAAACAACAACTCCAGAAAGTTTGTCAGTGTTTTTGTTGCTCTCTCTCTCTCTCATCTGCTTTTTCTCCTTTTACATTATCATTGACTCATCATTCTAATACCAATTATTATTAGTTTTTTCCCTCTCTCCATTCGTTTCTCAAGGCATCTCTTTTTCCTTTCTCTCTCTCTCTCTTTCTCTTTATAAATATATAAAGAGAGGGAGAGAAAAGTGTGTGTGCCACATCGGTGTTTGACAAGAATAAAATCTCTAACAACATTTTCTTTTCTTTTTCCTTCTACTAATTTCACCTCCAGTTAAATTTCATCAAAGATTGTCATCGACGTTGTCATTATTCTTTCAACACACAAATTCACTTCAATTAGAATGGACATACAGGAAAACGAGGTATGGAGTTTTCTCGATGAGTTTTCATAAAAATAGGCGGCAAAGAGATAGAAAGATTACGTTTTTTTTCCTTCCCGTAAACTATAGTTATAATTACATTGGCCAGAAAGTAGACAACATAAGATTTTTATATACGATTATTTATTAGCGAAATACGCATCAAAATAGTGCTTAATTCTTGTTGTCTAAGGCAACATTGCCTGTGTAAGTCTTGTTTTTTCCTCTGTACTTGTCTTCAATTTCTAGTTTTTCGGTTTCGTATTACGTTTTGGACTTGAACTTGATGCTTATTTTTGTGTGTTGACGCGTCGTAGAAGAACAGCATTGTATCAAGTGACTGTCTTGTTCGGAACGAATAGCGTTCTCACGCTATTTGTCTGTTTCTAATCAATCCTTTTCCATAAGCGATGTGATTTTCTTCTTGTTCTTTTTGTTAATAGTATTTCTCACTTCAACCGATCCTGAGACACGTTAAAAACTGTGCACGAGTTGATACCTGATGTTATTGACACTCAGTTTGCTTTTTCTTTCCATATACTTTGACAGTCGTTCTCAACGTTTCCAGTTTTATTTTCTCCCTTTTTTTCCTCCCTAGACTACTTCACATCCGTTGATCAAGTTCGTAAAAAAAGTAACTACGCTTTGACAACTGAAGTCTTCGTGTTTTTTCTCAGAATTTAGGCACGTATGATCTCTGAGAAGCTTAGTCGACTGCTTTCTTATTCTCTTCAACAATTAATTATATCAAAAAGGAAAAGAAAAGTTTCGTATCTGTTTATATTCAGGATTTCGACGGATTATCGGCAGTACCGAACAGTCCCAAACCAATTACAATGACGGATCAAGATACACGGTATCGTCTTGTTCTACTCGGTGCTAGTCGAACAGGAAAATCGTCGATAATCAACATGTTTTTGAACGGGAAGTTTTTGGATACGTACAAAGAAACTGTCGAAGATTTACACTATCGAGAGTTCACAGTCGATGATAAAACTATCAAAGTCGACATTCTTGATACAGCTGGTAAGTGAAATCAATGCTCTTTTCGTCACGAGCGTGATTAACATTGGTTCTATTTTCCACTTAGGTAATATGGAATTTCCTGCCATGCGCCGTTTATCGATAGCAACATCACATGCATTCATTCTTGTCTATAGTAAATTTGCAATTCTGAATAGAAATTCATGGTTTGCCTAATTGATTATTCTAGGTGTTGATAGCATGTCATCGTTCGAAGAAATTCGTCATATAATTCTACAGATTAAAGAGCAACGCACAAACTATGCTGAAATTCCCATTGTTGTTGTGGGAAACAAAACTGACCGAACATCTGTACGCGAAGTCGAAGAACAACATGTTCAGACAATGCTCAGCGAGCTTGGCCCACTGCATTGTCGTTTCACGGAGTGTACAGCATTGGATCGTGCGTCGACCATCGATATTTTCCTCAAACTACTCAGTCTTGTTCAATTATCAGCAGCAAGACAACTAAGTCCTATTCTTCGACGAAAAGTCAGTGAACGCTTGAAGAAGAAAGAATTTGAAGACAAAAGTGACAAAAGTATTAATCGTAGTAGAAGTCTCATACGACGAACATCTATGAAAAAGAAACCAACGTCATCAGGAGGTGATAAAAATTCACCGGAAACACCTGATTGTTTAGTTTCTTGAAAACAAAGAATCTCCTTTTCTTTTCGCCTTATTTTGTTTTATTTCTTTCTATAAATACGTATGTCTTTATATCTCAACCTACTTTTCTCTCTCTTCTTTTTTTTTCTGCAATAAACTATTAACTGACAGACATGAGTATTTCCACACGAAGTCCTTGTTTTGTTCTACTTGCCTATCTCCTCATATTTGCACCCATTCTTTTGTGTTTGAACACCTATATTCCATCTTCTTGCCCATGATCGCATTACCTTAAGCATTTGATCTTCTACGGAAACAGAAAACGAGACAATACTACCCAAAACTACCATTATTTTCCTCTTTTATCTCCGCAATAGTGTATTTTTCTAATTAAACTTTATCTATCTCCATTCTCGTTCAGCAACTACCTGCTAAAATCTTTCTACACAAGCGCTTTATACAATAGATTAGGATCGATCTGCTGTCAACGATGAAAAGCATGAACAACATACGAGAATTACCCTCACTAGACCTGACAAAAATACCACACGCATCAATGTTTCTAAAGTGTTATCAGCGCTTTGTATCAATCAACTCGAGTATTGAAATGAAACTATAAGTGAAACGTGAGTTCCTATTCTGAGTAGAACATCGTACTAACCATCTGTGATGTTTATTCTTGATGAAATATTTCCTCAGCTTCGTGCCTTAGACTTATGTATAATTAAAGTCGAATGTATGACTGCTAGAGAAGTGTATTTTGCACGACTGAAGCACCGTAGAATCATAGATGGGGAAAATAGTAAGCAATAATGCACTGTTGACTCTAGACAGTAATGATTATTCACTCAAGAAAGCATTCTCTTAAAAACAAAAAAAGACTTGTCGAGAATAAGAACATGATCGTTCATTTATTGCTAACGGTTTGCTTGCAATCGTCGATAGATATGCTCAGAGCAGGTATGACTTTTCACTTCTGTTAATTTCACGCCTCGAATTCTGAACGTCGGTTTTTAATGACTATGGCTGTTAAATTAAGAAACAAAAACGTCCGTAAAACGCTGTCAAATCGCATTTGTGATAATTGTGTTATGAACTGCTATGTTTTGGAGATTGGTTCGAACTTTTTTTATTGCAAACAAAATAATTGTGTAACAGAATGCAGAAGCAAGTTGAAATAGATATACATCGAGGTTTTCCTAAATCTTGGTGAAAGTTACCTTGCAAGCGTATGCGAGAACAAAAGTGTTATGTAATGCTTTTTAATGATGAAAGAACAGCGTGCTCATGGTTTTCAAGATTGACGAAAAGAAATGTCACTTTTATATGAAGTTTAAAATGTGATAATTTTCCCATCTAGTTGCAAGTTAGATACTTCAGTGCTTAGTAGGACGAAAAATAGTAATTAACAAACAAAGAGAAAAGTAGCTTTCATTGCTTCAATTGCCTTTTGCTTGTTGAAATTTGTCATTCAATGTACCTGATATGAATACAAAATATCTCATAACTCATTCTATGTCAAAATTAGTAATACAGAAAATAACAATCAACTCTTTTATTTAGAGAAAACCATGTGAGAGATTAAAACATGCTTGTAGCTGACAGAATTACGTCACTAAAGTTGCATTGGCTAGTAATAGGAGTTGTTGTCTTGTGTAGTACACACACACAGTAGATGATGTTGAATCTTTTTTGAATATTCATCGGAATTGCAAATTAGAGTTTCGTCTATCGAATCCTTTGAGCTGAAACTCGGATTGAATGTACAAAATATCCGGAACTCGGGGATGTGCCTGAAAAAATGTGACCTTTACAGGTGAAAGCAAAGAGGCATACATTATTTCTAACGGCCACGTTCAACATGTAAACGTTTCACAGTTATTGTCTAAGTGTATCAATACGTTTCTCGAAATGCAAATGAAACAAAAGCGTGTGAAGTCTCTTTTATCTCTCTTCACGTGGATCTGTACTGCCGTCCTAACATCCACATTCCTGAAAACATCCAACATCGATCTAATGAACAGAATAGACATATAGTCAACCATATATTAAGAAAAACGCATGCATCAAAGCACATGGCTGCTTCATTTCACACTGTAATTTAACTCATATGTCATCACTTGTGTCTTTTCTTTTATACAATAAAATATTAATTATCAAGCATAAATAATCATCTCTTTTATTTCATCATAAATTCATTTTCTAATATCTTGCCATCTGTTTGTAAACACACACACACATTCTACTCAATTCATATACCAACGTTATTTCTTTTCGCCCATGATCGGATTACTGTAATCATTTGATCTTCTACGTGAAGAGAGAAAAAAAATACAAAACTAAGATTACTGTTTTTTTTATTCTTACCTTCCGGATGCTGCGAGTTTCGTAATAATGGCAACAGATCGTGTAGTTTACTTCTAATAGAACAAATCAGTCGAATGATTTTTTACAACGAAACTTTATCTACTTTGATTCTCGACCAGCAATGATTTGCTGGAAGTATCCTGCACAAGCACCCTGTTTGCCATTCCTATACAATGGATTGGGGTCAATCTGTTGCAAACGATGAAAAGCACGAGCAGAGTAGAGATAGTATCTATGCTGAATATGCCCGAGAGACAAAAAACTATACATACAAAAAATGTTCTGAGATGTTAGTCTTACTTTGTAACAGTCATTTGCGATCAATTCGAGAAATGACAATGTATTTTTCGAACGATCGAGTTTAGAATACAGTTCCCAAGCAAGATGTGGCTTATTGTTCTGAATATGGCATCGTGCTAGCCATGAAAGATAAATATAGTCATTTTTAATCTTCTCATTATCAATAAGAAGCAACGCCTATAGTACATCAGGAGATATTTCAGTTTTCTTGCCATTCTTTGTTCTTACCTCTTCTGCTTCATGCCATTTCTGTTCCGAACCTTTAGCTTGTGCATAATTGAAGTTGAATGTGTCATCATTAGGAAAATAAGCCTGAAAAGAATGCAGATCATCAGTGAAAAGCATATTATGTGCGAATGAAGTGACTTTAATTGAACTTAAGTAGACTAAAACATCATAGAACCGTTGATGAAGAAAGTAATAAGCAGCCATGCATTGTCGGCCCGGAATTGTATCTACAAACAGCGATTATTCATCCGAAGAAAGGTACAAGTACATCTTACTTACCGCATTCGAGAGGAGAACTGCCGATAGTTTGAAAATATGTTTGAGCTTGTTTGATATGCTCGTGCTAAATTGTTTGTATTCACGAGATATATCATCGAAAGAAAGGAAATAGAATAGTTTCTTACTGAGCGATGTTTCTGCCCGTAGTTGGCATGAACAATACCTTGCAAGATGTATTCAATCGCATGACTTGGTTCGACATTTTTCATCAACTCAAACGCTTGCTCACAATTGTCTATAAACAGTAAAATATCATTCTATACGGAATTCACTGAATGGATATTTACCTTGTTTGAGATGGTATATGACTAGATTATAACGTGCTTCAGGAATCACATCGATCAATTGATTAAACACTCGGAACGCATTTGGATCGTCTTGAAACACAATCTAAACTATTTGAGATAGAAACAAAATGTGAAAATAAAAAATACGTACCATATTATGCTGAAATATTTCTTTTGCATGATGAAATGAGATATTGACATTGTCAAGAAGCTGTTTGAGATCATTCTAAACATTCATTTATATCAATCCTAATACCCATACAAAGCACTGTTTACTTCAGCTCTTTTTCTATTGTATAACTTGTACTGATTACACGCTTGAATATTCACAGCTGTCACTGAATCCGGATACTTCTTCAAATAGATATCAAGTAATTCTTGTGACATATCGAAATAATCTAATTTATAATAGCAAAGTGAAACATAAACATTCAATGCCAGATAATCTCTAAGGAACGAAATCTACTTAGGTTTTCTTTTCTGTGGACCAGACAAGAGAAGCTTTACCGATCTTTTAACAAGTACCGCTTGTATATATCAAGTGCTTGTTGGTATTCATGTTTCATATAATTCATACTAGCGAGACACATTTGATTTTGGACATCGTCTTGCAGCTGATTTTGATAATGTTGAAATTTGTCTTGATGATTTTGTTTGTGTGCAAGGTGAAACAGAAGTCGTGTTTGTAGAGAAGATTTCGGTGCTGTGTTTTGAAATTATACAAGAAAATGGGATAGTAAAAGAAAGTTGTTTTTTCCTCAAGAAACCTTTCAATGCAGTTTGTTCGGCTTGTTCATAATTGCCCAACATAAAGTAACAACACGCTAGGTAGATGTAGATTCGGCCATCACGGTGATCTCTTTTTAGAAGATTTTCATATTCCTATTCAGAAAACAAGCTTTTACATGGATCTAGACGATGGATCGATGAAAATTTATGAGTAAGAAGGATGTGAAGAAACAACGAAGCTTGATTGATTCAAAATAGTAATTACAACATTGGAACATTTTAGTACTGTTTCATAAGGTGTTGTTTGTCTACTTACATGACGCGCACGTTGATAATCTCCCGTATGAAAAGCGGCAAATGCCAACCAATGATCGAGATCGTCTATGTTTGTGTCATTCTCTCGACAAAACTATGAAAGATTGAAAATTTTCAATTCGTAGCTGCCATTCAAAGTTCAATTCTCACTTCGAGAAAAGCAATGGCACCCGCATAATCACGTTGAGCGATGTATTCATCAAGTTTTAGTGTTTGCTTCTTCGATGGTTCTAAAGCAGGTGAAGCGTTCTTAGAATGGAAGTGTATCTAATCAAAGGAGAGCAATAAAAATCAAACATCTTTTATCGTTTCGAGAAGACTGTCTTACCATGTGGAATGTATCTAATAGAAAGAAGACGTCTCATCGGAAGTTAAACTATCTTAACCATAGATAATGATTTTCCTCTATGCAACACCTCTAGGCTTTTAAGTACGGATTGTCATAGGTGTCGCATGTTATATTGAAGAATGAAGAAGCAACCGTGAACGCAACAGATTTTCTTTCATCAGCCATAATAACGGAATTCTTACTGACACTCGCGTGCCGGATTGTTCTCTTGCATTTACAATTACATTAAAAGACTACGAATAGTAGATGAGATTTGAAGTTAAAAAATCATGCAATAAACGGTGTTTTATTCATCAGTTAGAAGTAAATGAAACAGAACTAGTCTAATATGCATTTTTTGATAAAAATTAGTTGAGATTGTATTTAGCAAAACGACAAACGAACTGTTTGTTTAGTCCATGTAGAACACAAACGAAATAGCGATGATTAACAGACAATCTCGCATGAACTCGTTGCATCCTAGAAAAGTCAAAGTGACAGATAAATTTATCTAAAATATTCTACATACTTTGCATTGACAAACGAGACATTTATGAACATGCCATTTCGTACCATTTTTGTGTATTTTTCTTGTATTCTGATCATAGCAATGCGTGCCAGTGGTTAGACGCTTATCAAATGTTGCGAACTATAAGTAAATGATATTTAATTATTTGAAAAAAAAACATTCAAAATGTTTCCTTATTGCAAACCTTTTGTAACACATCATCAACTTGTTGACGAAGTTTTTGTAAATCCAATTCATCATCTTTTGTTCCTTGTTCTTCTTCAACATCTCCTTCTGTTTCACGTTTATGTCGTGTCACTGTATCGATTGTCGACGGTCGATAATTAGGGAACGGGTCAAATGAAAGAATCGCCGGTGTATTACAAACTAAGCAAAAATACATCGTCTATTCAAATACCAACAAAAAATTCTTTCATACTCGCATTTGGGCCGGCCATATTTTGTTTACAGCAGCCACGCCATGGTTCCAGATCAACATCTTCAATAGTCGAGCATGGAACATAATCACGTGGATACATTCCGTTGAGAAAAACGTTTCGCGGAATACGGTCAATACGATCACCATTCTCACAGAGCACTTTTGCTAGCGAAGTTTTCTGTAAAGATTTCAATTGTTCAGGCGAGAATATTCCTGATTTTTCATGCCAATATCTATCAAAGCCGGTTGTTCTTTCAAAAGGACAAATCATGAAAGAAAATGCTTACCGATCGCCATCTCTCAAGGCTTTGAATTGTTTTGTTATTAGGCAGCGGAAGAGTGGACCAACTTTTGCACCTGGTAGATTATCTTCCAAGATTCCTCCGATCCAAACATCGATATTATCGACATGTTTGTAAACATCGCGTAAAGTGTTTCGTGTCTCTGCATCTTTGATATCTCCTTGTAAATCATCGAAATCTTTGATTTCATCTGGGGATAGATGACAAAACTTTCTCCACGCTGTATACGATTGCAAACCATGATCGCGACTACGCTGAACATTTGCTGCAGCTAAATCAAGTGATATGGCACGTGTGACATGAAATAAACGTTCGGTTAATTCGACATTGAGAATTTGTTGTGGTAATTTGATTTTTGCTGGTACACCAAACATACCACGTATGAGTGGATCGATACCACCTTGTTCTTTCACACGCCATGGTGAAAAGAATGCGTCACGAAGGAGAAGATTGCCTTCAGGAATCGGCTCAAGGGTTGAATTTAATCGATAGAATACAGGATTAATCAAACCATGACCAAAACTAGATGAAAATCAAAGTCAATTTGCTTCGCTTCTACTCTCAATTGCACGTACCGAAACGCAGCTGTAGCAAAAACATTAGAAATGCTTGGATCAACGTTACGACGGTAGCCTTTATATGGTCCAAGCATATTCATTCCTTCATCACCAATGATGTATGGTAGCCAATGTTGATACGTTATAATTTGTAACTGTGCTTCGATGATTTTCCGCGTTTCTTGATAGACTTGTTCATCGGACCAGTCGGGGTTTATTGAGCTCAGACGTCCAGCGAGACGATTATGTTGACGTACCCAAATGGTATGCATGGCAATTAGAGCTACTTGTTCATTGACTCGATGATCTTCAATTGATAGGAAACGAATCTACTAAGAAAGCAATGTGCTTTCCGACTTACCTCCTGCAAGAAAACAGCCTATTTGTGAAGCTTGTCGATCGCGTTGACAATCAACCGGTGTATCTGTGCTGAACGGCAGTAAGCCTTTTGGAAATTGTGGTGTACTTCAAGAAAAATATGAACATTTAGGAATCTAAAACATTTTTACCTACCTATGAACTCGAAGGAGGCCTTTGCCCGAGCTACGTTCTCGTAAATCCCACGCATCTTGTACAGTTGAACCGTACACATTGGATGCATCGAAAAATGATGTCAACGAATTAATCTGTTCACGTCGATATGGTAAATGAAGAAATGATGTTTCGCCACTCAAACATACAGCTGCCGAACGAACAAATTCTAAGCACGAACCACGTTCTTCACGTAAATGATCATCATCAGGTACGCGAATTGGATAACATGGTGGTTCAAATGAACATGACGATAAACAACGAAGACTATCCGAGAAACGTGTATTACTTGTTGCTTGAACTGTCAATGACATATCATGATCTATAATACATTCAGATTTGAGATAAGAGACAGTTCGATAATGATTAGCACGAAAAAATGTCTACCTTGAAATTGTCCCCATTGCATGAGCATATGCGAAAACGCTGGATCTGGTGTGACGACTTTTGTTGCAATTAATCGTCCTGATACTTCGCGCGCGGATGGTAAAACGAAACCATTGTATAGCTTGCTTGCATTCCAACCACGCGGGGTATTAAAACCATTTTCATATTGTGCATGCAACCAACGTGATAACGCTGTCAATGACGCGCCCCAAAACGGATGTTTTAAATTATTACATGTACCATCAGCAGTTCGGTAGGCCATACATTTTTCATTACATTGTGATTTCAATTGATGCATAACACAACCGGATACGAGCGCAAGACGTTCTAGTTGACGAGATGTTAGCAATTGATCAGGTCGAAAGTCTATAAAATGAAAGATTAAAGGCTGAGTTTCGTCTTATGAACATTATCTCAATTACCAATAGTACTCATATCGTTTCGTGCGCTTTCACTTGAAAACGTAATATTATCGACATAACGGTGGACAAGATCGAGTGCTCGTTCGAAAATATCTTCAGTTTTAGCTAAAGTTAACTGTAGTGGTTTGGGAAATTTCATTAACGACATTAAATCTCCTGGTGTTCGTGGTCGACGACGATCTTGTAAATGACGAACAGTTTCCGCTACAGCACGATTTACTTCTGATGTTGCTTGTTGAACCAAACGATCGATCAATTCATCGGTTATTTGATTATCATCTTAATCAGATTGAACTATTTACAATCCACGTCAACAACTCTGAACTTACTGACAACGGTAACCCAAAATGAATGAATATCATTTCCTGCGTAATTACTTGCTTGACATGTGTAATAACCTGATTGATTAGCGGCAACATGTGGTAATAGCAGTGATCCATCTTCCTTTAAGATATACTGCATATTATATTGAATACGTGTACCATCACGAAACCATTCCATTTTTGGTTCTGGTTCTCCCGTTGCTGTGCACTCGAGTTCAACGTGTGCACCGTCATAAGTTGTTAAATTGGACATACGTCGTGAGAGCAATGGTGGTGCTACAAAAGATTTCGCAGATATAGAAAAAGAGACTTTCCTCAGAAGAAATTTCCTACTCGGATCTCGAACACGAAGATCCGTGGCAGCAGAGATGCGTTGAAGAGTATTTTCTGCTACACACGTATAAAGACCTGTATCCTCATTTCGTAACTGATTAATACGTAATGTTTGACCGTCCTCTCGTAATTGCATTCGATGAGATTGCCGAATCATTGTGTCTAGATAGTTTGACAGAACTTTGAACATGTACAATCGATCTTTTATGTACTTACTCGATTTATACCAGGTTATTTTCGGCTTTGGATTACCATGAACTCGACATTGCAATTCGGTAGTTAAGTTTTTCAAACCAACTCGATACGTGTCCGGAAATGGATTGAACCGTGGAGGAACTGAACAGTAGAACACTTGGAAGAAAAGGTTCTATGAATTAGTGATGCACTCACAAATGACACTTAAATTTGCTGATGCCGATCGCATCTCTACAGCGTTACGAATTGTACATCCATAGGTGGCTTCATCGCTTTCGTCGACATTTAAAACCTGAAGGTACTGATTGGTAATAAAATGTTTTGCACTGGGGCCGATTGGTGTATCGTTCTAGAGTAGCGAAACAAAAGAAAAGGTTGAACGTTAGTCTTACTCAGAAAAAAATATCGAATGCTTATACTTTCGACCAAACAATTGGACTTGACGATGAACTGCAGTAGAACAAAGCGTGGCTACCAAGTGGAACTTGGATTGATTGTGGTCGACGAGAAAATACCAATGGCTCTATCGTTTTCCAAAGATGTACGTCAGTGAATATCAAACAAAATCAACCTACCCACGCGTAAAGACTGTTCGGCCTCATAATCACTGTAATCCTCATCATTCGATTGAGATTTTACATAGATAATAAGATTGAGACAGACAATGAAATGAATGCAGCATTTCAAGTACATCTTTGCTTCTGTCTACTAACGAATAAAGCTTATATGATCTAATGACAGTCGATATGAATAAAAGAAAACAAGCAATTTACTTTATCTCTTATCGCTTTTTCCTTCTGTTTCCAGCGGCTTCTTTTTCTGCCCGATAGATAATAAATGTACACATTAGATTGGAGAGTTGAGCTTCGATGTTTGCATTTTCCTCAAGCAAGAAGGAGAACAAAATGTAAATGATATTACTACAAAGATCAAACAGCTGATGAGAATATCTGGCGAGTGTAAATGAATTTGGTAAACAACGACAGATTTATGATCTTTCCATACATTCATCTATGGAACTAATTGATAATGCACATGGATATTTCTAGTATTATGTCGACAAGAAGAGAAAATATGACGTCAGAGCGACGACAGACAGAAGAAGGTCTGTTCGAGTGCATTTCTTTTTTTCTTCTAAGGATAAGTTTATCGACTTGATTATCTGAAGAGTTCTATGTAGTTGACGAATTGTTCGACCTGGGTCGCTTGTTCAAAAAATTCTCTGCAAGCCGAGTTGTATAAACACATGTTATTTTCGGTTACACAGCGATAGAGAAGCATACCAACAGTTCAAAGACATAGAACGAAGAAATTCGAGTGAAAGAGAGCTTGATCATTCAATAATGCAACAAAATTACTGACTTGTTATAATAGTCCTATGACACCGAGAAAGAATTGTTCCCTCGACTGAAAGGAGGGTCATACGAAATAAAATAGTTTGTGTGTTTGTTTGTGTCAGGGTCAAAGGTCAAAAAAACATTTATTTCGAAAATGCTCAAAACTTCATAAAACACCGTTTGCGAGGAGTCTTGAACCCTGGTGTTGGCTTGGGGGGGGGTCGAAGGAAGAACTTGACAGAGGTCAGAAAAAACATTTTTTTACATGCTCAAAATTCAATAAAAGATCGTTTGGATGGGTCTTGGTGCTGGATGGTGATAGTGAAGTACAGGACAGAATCACAAGAGCTGTACCGGCGACGTCAAAGGTAAAAAACGGTTTGGTCGTACTTGCTCGAAAACACCTTCCGCAGCATCCACGCCCTTCTTTTATGTGCATCTCGTGTAAATTGTCAATTTCGAGGAAACAGGACGATACCGTAAAAAATACTGTCCCCTTTCCCCAAATGCTTTAATTTTAAAGAAAAGTCGTTTGGAATATGTTGAACCGTTGAGTGAGCAACGTTTTTGTATCCGAAAATATGCCCTTAGGCCTTAGCTCGAATTCGACTAAATCAATGGGGTACTGGGGACACGTACGAGGACTACCCAGGTTATTATAGTACGGTCGGAATCCGGCGGCAAGGAACCTGCCGGAATGATCGACCTGGGATAGTTATATGTTCCTTCATCCGATGGGAGAATCGTATGAGGAAAAGCAGTTTGAATGGTGTGTGTTTGTATCATCATTTAAAGACAATATTGACAGAAACTTCACGAATAACGTGCGGAGATAGCTGATACGGATTGATACCTATCATGGATCATAAACCTGGCCAGTCAGGTGTCACGCGGTGTAGGGTTGAGAAATTACATGTGTCTAGGATACTTTTGCCGTATGACCCTATATATGAAAAACATGGAAGATTTCCTCTTATAACGACTAGTAAACAAAAGACAAGCTCCAGCTGAAAACTTTCTCTGTATAGTAGATTTTGTTCAGGTAGTTAAATTGTGTGTTAAGTGTTGGAGAGAAAGGCGAGTGCCGTTTGAGGACGTGTGTATGTTATGAACCATATCGAGCAGTCGGAAGTGGCGGATCGAAGGGTTGCCGACGACCGCCAGCGAGATGAGTAGAGTGATATATGTTTTGAAAACTTCTTATGACAAGAGTAGAATTAAAAGGGAATCAGTCGAGGGCTAAGCGAGTCGGACTCGGCGAGCATTACTTGTAGTTAATGGACATCAACGCGGATGAATTCTTGTCTTGGTAACTGTTCCATGATTATAACAAGCAATGCACCTTTTCTAAGATCTCGTTTACAAAAGAGGATCGAATCAAATGATCGATCGTTTAGTATTGAATCGAACATTCTAATTCCAAAGCAGATTCATCGCGGTGATTTACTTGTCCTATTGGTAACTTCCGTCAACAGGATGAGTATGAAACATTTTGATCAAGGCAGGAAATAGGCATATTCTTCGGAAAATATCTGTTTGAAGAAGTTGAATTCCAAATCTCACAGTCGTTATCCTCTACCTATCGCAGGAGATAGGCACATCCGCTTAGAACGTCACGATTTCTTTAAATCTGCTTTATAATAATCGATTTTTATTTATTGAAGATCAGAGAAAATAAGTACACATACAATCTTGAGGAAAAAGAAAAAAAATAATACCAATCTGTATCTGACGTTCGAGTATCTGTTTGATTTATGTTCGACATAACTGATGCATCACCGTACAAAGAAAATCCATTAATTGCAAATATTCATCAGCGCCATCGAGTAAACATCCATCGACAACCTAATTGAGAAACTAGATTACTAATTCTTTCTTGCTAACTATTTTCGTACCGCTGATTTCTCGAAAATAACCGCTTTTTGTTCATTACCCAACGCCATCTGAGCCAAAATATGATCGTGTAATTGTAACAATAATTGATGAGATGCATACCCTTCTAAGAGCACATTCTGAAACGGAAAGTTTTGGAAACGAACAAACAAAAACAAATGTGTTCTACTTACTTTCACTGTTGTTGCGAGTTTTTCATAAGAACCTGAGTGACATACTTGATAGAGATTTTCAATAACATTGTCTGGAATAACCTGAAATGAGGAAGTCATTTTGATTTTCGTTGATTATGTTCTCGACATACGCCAGTTATTTCATGCACATCCTTCGTCGAAATCGTTTCATTTGTGCGGAAACGAGCGACACTTTGCAAAAATGTCACCGCTTTACGCATGTCGCCTTCCGTACATTTAACTAATTCGCTGATAGCCTAACGAAGAAATATTTATTAGATGAAAATGCAATTGAGATGAAAAATATTGCAAACCTCAGGTTCACATTGAACATTTTCATTGTTGCAAATTGCTTGTAAACGTTGTTCAATAATGTTATTACTTAACGGTTTAAAACGAAATTTAGCACATCGAGATGTAATTGGATCGATTATTCTACAGAAAAAATGTTGAGCTTTCGCTGAAGGAAAGAAGGTTCTCTTACCGACTGATATAATTACAAATCAAACAAAATCTCGTTGTTTTTGATTCCCGTTCCATTGTTCGACGAAGTGCAGCCTAAGAAGAAGTTTTAGTGCTACACAAACGAAAGATCTCGTTTTTTTACTTGAGCAGCTTTCGTCATTGAATCACATTCATCGAGAATAACCAATTTAAATGGCGGACAATAAACACCGCTAAAGAGAATATTAACACTCCTGTGAGAACATCGAGTAAATGAATAACTCACTCAGTACGTGTTGCAACTACCGAAAATTGTGCGAATTTCTTGACTTTCTCACGTATAACATTGATGCCACGTTCATCTGACGAGTTCAATTCCATTACCCGATCACGAAAAAGTTGAGGACTAAATCGAATCAAATCCTATTGATATCGACCAGACACAAACATGTATCCTACCCAAAAAGTTCATGTGCCGCAGCAAGAATAGTACTCGTTTTACCAGTACCTGGTGGTCCATAGAACAACAGATTAGGAAACTAAATGAAATTTGTTTGTTGACAAAGCAATTCCTAGTGTGCATGCTTTTTCGTTTACGTACATCACTTCCAGCAAGACATTTGGTCAACACTGCAACAACTTCATCTTGATAAGCAACATCACTGACTTTCTTGGGTCGACTAAAACAGATATTTCATAGATGTGTTTGGATAGAAATTGGCATCTTACTATTTCTCAACCCATGGTACTAATCGATCTGGTTTTGTATGATTTTCTTTGTTTCCTTCTGCAGATTTTGTTGGCGATGATGATGCTGCGCTTTTCGCGAACATCGCTGGTACCACTGGTTTCTTTGCTACTGCTTTTTTCGACATGATTCACGAATCAAAGAAAGGTATCTGAAAAGAAAACATCAGCAAAAGCCCATCAAGTTTAATAGATAACTGGCAAAAACGTAAGAGAGAAAGATAAACTATTAAATAGCAACAATAAAATTTAAAAAAGCTATTTTGGTAATCGTTGTAATTCTTGAATCAATCGTTTGATTCCAACAATAAATCGTACGACCTAATAACAAACGAATGATCGTTTAAGCGCATAGAATGAAATGTTTGATAGTTACTTCTGAACTGGAATTTCGAACGAGAAGAACATGCATATCGAAAGCCTCTTGTACATTATTTGAGCTAAGCTCTTGAAATATGTTTGATAACGTTTGTTTAGTATTCAAGGAGAGTTTGTTCTGCTGCCATTCGTCTTGCATTACTTGAAATTTTTTCGAAATATCTTCGAGAATCTTTTTCTGAAAAACAAAGCATCATTTACACAACCGTTGGTGTTTGTTTGTGAACGTATCTACTTCGATATTTGATGATTTTTCTAGTTTTTCAATTTGTGTTTGAAAGATTTCATTCACTGCCTCAATAGTTAACATTTCGGTTGCAGCTGAAGTGGCATCATCTGTAGATGCTGTCGTCGCAGCTACAGATGCTGTTGCTGATGGAGGTGGGACGACTAAAACATTGGCCGCTAAAACAAACGTAAGTGCAATTCGGATTGAAATGACTGGATTGTAATTCCTACGATTATTCGTTGCCGATAAATCTTGATTTGTGAACGGAACGCGTTTATTGAGTAGAACACGTTTTGTTGACATATTATCAGAGAGTGCAAGATTCGCTGGTGGATCATTCCACCCATCAAGATTGGTAGATTTATTTGTTGAAGTCATCTGAATATTTCATAAAAGAAATATAAGACAAAAAGGGAGAAAACGAATGATTATAGATCATGTTGTTTATTTCAGACAAAAAAATCTAAGCGATAGAGTTCTTTTACAGGAAACAGAGGAACTGAGGAGATAGAAAGAGAGAGAGAGAGAGAGAGACAGGAATCAATGTTCTCTAAGATATCTTGGAAAAAACGGACTGATAGTCTACTGGATTTAATCGACGTTGTCTTTGTAGAGTAATTTAAGGACTAAAATGAGAAATCAGAGTAGATTTCCATAGATAAAGTTTTGGAAATTTACGTTTAAGACGATCTTTGGCTTTCAAGTGGTTGTATACGCTTGAAACCACTTGATAGAATACGTAAGTAACGATTACTCCTTGTACGGCAAAAAGGAGTTTGTCGCGTGGCATCATAACCCATGTTGGTGTTGTTTTGTTACGCTAGAAAAAGAGAATTGCATTCACGTAAAAAATTGTGGGCACCTTCGTAGAACTTACGAGAGCGAAAAGTTGTAATTCTTGAATACGTCGAGTACGATTTTCAACATATTTATCAAGTGTACCTTTGGTACGTTTGACTTGTGTAATTGTATCGGTGTCACCTTTGTATGGTGTGCGCCAAAGATTCACACCTTCCCAAGGAGCAGCATGTCCATGGTCGTGACCACCTGACACTCCACCGTGAGATGACGGTGCAACTGAATGAGCACCAGCTACTGAACCTGAGCCGGTCGTAGCGGATTTTGATGAAAGAAAGCGAAAGAGTGACATTTGACAGTCAAGTTTTGCCTCGGTATTACCGAAACTCTACAATAAAAAAGCAAAAATTAAAATATCCAAATCTTTCTTGCTTTATCTCCATTCAATTATTATTCTTTTTTCGATATCATAGAAATATCAACACTCTAGATAAAAACTAACTGAAATTAACGACCTGTCTACTTTTTCTATCATTATATTATAACAAACATATCTATACGCGCATACACACATTGACAGTCGAACAAAACTACAGTTGGTTATGATGCGATGGTATTTTCTCTTCGTATGTGTATTTACGCTAAAGATCCAAGCAGTAGAGTATGATACATATTTTCATGTGTTTTCGAAAAGTAATCCTGACAAACCGGTGACTATTCATTGGGGCGATGCGAAGAAATGGGAGCAACATAAAGCGTTTCGAACATGTCCAATAAAACTGATTGCTCATGGGTATGCTGAACGATGGAATATGGACTGGCGATGGGACTGGGTTAAAGACATGAAAGACGAAATGTTGAGCAATAAAACCCAAGAAAATCTGTGCGTTGTTGCTATCGACTGGGAGAAAGGCGCAAGAGAGGCAAATTTTATCACAGCTGTTGGCAATGCCGACGTTGCTGGACGACATCTCGCTGAATTTATACAAGACAATCATATCGAACCAAAACGATTACATTGTATTGGATTCAGGTAAGATTGTTGACAAAAAAAAACATACGAAATCTCTTCCCTAAAAAAGAAATCTTTCCTACCTAGTCTCGGTGCTCATCTCTGTGCTTTTGCTTCATCTCAATACTTTCGCTTAACAAACAAGACGACAAAATTCGCGCGCATAACAGGTCTGGATCCATCAGGTCCTCTTCTACGTAAAGCATCAGTTGATAAACGTCTGTCGCGCGATGATGCTGACTTTGTTGACTCTATTCATACATCGACAACGTTCGGTCTACAAGAAAAAAGTGGACACATGGATTTCTTTCCCGACGGCGGGAAAAGTAGTGCGAAAGGATGCGAAAAACTAATCGAAATCAAAGACGAAGAAGAAGAAGGCGAAGTTGTCGCCGCATCCGAAAAGCACCATCGGGTTAAACGGTTATTCTTTAACAAAAATAAAACAAAAAATAGCACGAACGATGACGACGACGATGTACCAAAGAAGAATTTCGTGGAAAAACTACGTGACCGCATTGGACGCGTTCGTCCGTTGAAGAAAGTGTTTCTCAACATTCATGCCTATATCGGTTGCAATCATCTCCGTTCGCCTCACTACTACATCTCGTCGATAAATCACTGTCAATTTCGAGCGCAATCGTGCTTATCATGGTCGGATTATTCAGCAAAGAAATGTGTTGATTCGATTGATAACAACTCGACCTATCCACGCATGGGTTTCTACGCTGAAAAAAGCGACGCGACCTATCGACGAGGCAACGGAAGTTTCTATTTGAAAACAACCTCTCAGAAGCCGTACTGTTCACCTACAACTACATCTTCTCTGGTGAAAAAACAAACGTCGAAACTGAAAAAAAAACTTATGAAACTACTTCCTCAACGCGTCGGTTAAAACAACATTTCCGAAATAAAAACAAAAAACAAGAGATTTCCGTTTGTACATGTACACATCGTTTCTTTTCTCTGGAATATCATACAAAATAAACTTCTTTCTCATCAATACATATCGTTGAAAAGAAACAAAACATGACACGAAGCATTACAACATACAAACAGAGAAATAAATAAATAAGATACTGCACAAACGAAAGAAAAAAGATACAATGTATTACCATGATACAACCGTACAAAGAAGAGGAAAAAAAGACAGAAGTCATTTATTCAATCAGTCAGAAAAAAACCTGTATTTAGATCATACATTTACAATAGACGAGATGAACACACGGTAATATGACATTGCCTTTCTCACCGGGATCATCGAGAAATAAAACGTCATTTGAATTCTGATAACAGTATAATGAGCAAAAGTAAGAAGAAGCCGTTCGATATTTTTTTTTACAAAGAAACAAAAAACATGCCAGAGACAAACAACAACAAAGAGAAAAAGATGATGATGATAGATTTCAGAAAATCGATTGTTCGATCTATTGACAAAGACCACCGAACATCTCTTGGCTAGCGTACGTCATATAGAGGAAACCATCGTCATCCTTGACAAGTCAAACGAGATGAATTTCGATGAATTTTCAATAGATTTTACTTACTTTATCATCACGATAGATTTCAGCCATGGAAGTAGACATTGATGCAATACTTTTATTGTTCACCAGTAAATAGAACGCTTGATTAGCATTTAATTGCATGCGATTTCTATGCGAAATGATCATCAAAGTGAAAGAGCGACATGCATGAGTTTGTATTTACCGAATAATTGTTACAAATTGCGACATGGTCAACTCTTGAGGAACCAAAAATTTTGTCTTATCTACACATTGCAATCAATGACGGTAACAAACGAATGAACTAGACCTTACCGAGAATCGGGAGATCTTTCTCTTTATGATATCGTTCGACAATAACTGGAATTTCTAGAAAAAACATTCATCAGTTCGAGCAGCGAATCGTATGAAAACGTACTGTTTGGAAATTTACTGCGAATGCCGGCAACTTCTTCTTTTCGTGTTGCTAAAAATAACAAATCATGTATCGAAGTGAGAGAAATATCACGAAAATATTTACCGAAACTTTTTCGTTGTTTGAATGTACGCGTATCTACATTGGATGAAGATGGCATTGTTATTTTTATCGTTGTAAATTCTTGTTTTTGTCTTTGTCGTCAAATCTAGAGATTGAAATTAAACAACAGTCGAAAGTATATGTCTTTATCTACTAAGATAATGAAATGACGACAGTTAAATAAGTTTCTCTCGAACATGACACAACAGTAGACTTCGGAGTGAAGAAAAAAAGAAGTTGAAATCGAATTCTTTTTCTATGACGCCATCGTCATACAGACACGCGTATGCAAAACAAAACAGAAAAGAAAATAATCATCGGTTTAATCATCTTGTTTATCCGTAAAAGGACATTTCGATCGAATTAATAGAAAAAGAAAGAAAAACGATGTATATATAGAGAGAAATGCATCGATTCTTCTCGTGGCACTTACTAATAATGACGAAGAGGGGGCGGATAGTTTCTTCTTTTATTCTCTACTCTCTCTATATATTAACGACGAGCTGCTGCCTATGTAACCGTCTATTTATACTTCAATGCGCACGATGATATATGTCACCCATTTTCCTTAAAGGTGTTCGTGATGATTCTTGATAAATAAACAGAGCATCGTCTCACTTCACTTGTTATTGAGTGCACGAAGAAAAATAGCTTATCGAAGGGAAAAAAGAAACAGCGAACGAGCGAGGTTTTATCTGTTGAAGTGAGAAAAATGAATAAAACAAAGAGATGTGAAATGTGAACGTTGCTCTTTTTTTTTCTTAATTTTCTGTAATGAATGAACAAAAAATATAATATAAGCCGTCAAATAAGCACTATTTGACAATAAAAACAAAAAGAGAGAAGAAAAATCCTACTGTACAATTGAAAGAAATGAATATTTTGTGTTTTTTAAACATATGTTTTTCGCTATACCCACAGTTCTGGTTCGTATGTGTATATATACATAGAATGCACGATAATGGAAAGTATGTTTATGAAAAAAAAGAATCTCGTGTGTGCATTGATTTACGAGTAATTCGTGTCGTAGGATGAATTTGGTCGATTATTCGATGCAGTTGATGATTGTCTTGAGTTATGTTGTTGGGAGCTCGACGAGTAACGCGATGAAACTGTCTTAATATGGTTTTGATGTTGAGAGAGCAATGGATACAAGCATTCGTCGAGCGTATTCGTCTCACAGTAGAGTTTTATTGTACGTAGGAGATAATCAGTTTGGATGAGCAGATGATTGGCCGCAATAAAAACGTCATCACGATTACTGTCACGAAAATAGGCTTTGAGGGTGTTACTAAAATGTTTACTATATTTGATGAATTCTTTCTTTTCGTTTTCTAATGCTTGTCGACCGTCGAGTGTTTTAAAGTATTGATAAGTATTGGAAACACTGTCGAGTGTTGTTTTGATCGCACTTGCTATTTCTTTGATTGTTTCGAGAAAATCACGTTTTTCGTTGATGTCATCTGGAATTCGACTTAAGATGCGCTTTAAACTTCGCGAACGCGCATTCAGTTCTTGAAATTCTTGTTCACTACGTGACAACGAGATGTAATACGGTGATTTATCACAATATTTCTCGAGTTTAAGTGTTAATTCATTCATATTCATTGTTGCAGATAATAACGGCGTTTCTTTATTGATAAACGATTGAAGAAACGTGTTCGAAAAGCCCGGATAAATCTCTTCTAATTTAAATAACGTTGTACGAAGATCCGACTGAATGTCTTTGTAGCCCGATTTATCCAACTGATTGATAACAGGATATAAAATGTTCGGTAAGACAAGCGCATTCGTTGGATTAACATTGGATGGAGCTGAACTTTCGCTGATTGATGACATTAGAACAGAAAATGATCTACAATTGAATGATGACACACAAAGAAAAGAAACAATGTCGACAGGCAATTAAATGTTTCAATATTCAATCGATTTCTAGACCTTCAATCAGTACACGCATGTTCAACCTTACATAACATTGCACAAGGTGCATAGAAAATTCTGGTCTTCTTTTCTTTCCCTTTTCCTGAACTATTCATACTCTACGGTACGGAATAACTCGCCTATTCATCCTATTCAAATCGATTCTAGCTGAGTCTATTGTCAACGGATTATCGAATACTTTCCGACGATGATCACGAATGTAAAAACCTAAAATATGTTCAATAAGACATAGAAGTAATTTCGAATCTACTATGATCATTTAAATTGTAATCAGCGAAAACAAATAACAACAACAAAATCTCGTGCAAACGCCATAGCTAAATTTCAATAAACATCATCTAACCTCTCCGATGTGCGCAATCCTATTGGTCGAGAGAATATTCCAATAAATAAATACGTCTTGATGATAATTGTTGAATGACGAGTGTATGTATCTATTTATATTTGACTTGAGACAATAATGTCGAATATAAACTTATTTCCTGAACTGGACGCTGAGCAGGATTATGACAATGGACATTACCATGCAAAAGATGAAGAAGAAGATTTGATTGTTTTTGGTTATTCGTGCAAATTATTTCGTGATGATTTCTCTGCGAAAGCAATCGACCGTGGACAAAGTCTGATTCCATGGAATGGGGACGAAAACGTAATGATTGACAGGTGTGCACAAAACGACTTTTTGCTTTGTCTAACTTTTTTTCTTTCGAATAACAAGAATATGAGACTAAATTCAAACGTTTTCTCTTTGTATATCGATATGTTTGGTGAGATTTTGAAAAAATTTAGATCTCGACACGGTAAGTATCGGTAGTGTTTATTTCCGATTTTAGGCAAAAATAAAAATCTCATATGTTAAATGGCTTTTATCAGGTGAGAAAGCTGCTAATTGTTCTTCAATTTGGTAAGTTTATCTTCTCACTTTCTCTGTATTCTATGAACTTTTCAATAAATTCTTACACGTTATCTTCAATTCTCTTTTTTATTGCAGTCGCATATGCGGACAAGTCATCTAAAAAAATAAATAAGAGCATGACGGAGTTTTCGAGAAGAATAAATAAAACCATTTTCGAGACAGATAATTAACATTTGCTTTGTTGTATTTGCAGGTATGACTGTCGTGGACATTTATCGGATTTAACCATATGGGATAGTGATTTAATACGAAAAAAAGCAGGATATAATCAAGATGAATACATGAATGAGGAAGAAAAACGAATCGAAGACGAATGTGAGCAAGAACGATACTTAGAACTGTACAGAGACATTGAAAAAGAAGCATTACACCAAGGTAAAATCGAACTATGTGTATTTCTTTTTCTACAAGAAAATTTTCTGCTCAGAAGAGGAGTCGAAACGTAACAATACAGAGAAGAATGCTTACAATCAAGTGGGATTTAGCTATCAAGAATCAGAACAATCAACAAAGAAAACAACAGAAGGTAATCTGATGAAGAATTGTTTCTATTAGAGGAAGAAACCAGCTCTTTTATCATTTCCAGAAGCTCCACAACCACTTGATGACGATGAATATGAGCCATTTTATCCATCAGAGAAGTTACAAATACCCTATGGAATGGATATTGTAAGTTTGTTGATTGGCGTTGCATGAGTAATCGTTTTCGATGTTTTATTTCAGCCCGAATCGATAAAATTGAATGCGGTAATTGAAAAAACGGCGGGCTTTGTTTCGACATCCGGTCTTCAAATGGAAATCGTCCTTAAAACCAAACAAGCCAAGAATCCTCAATTTGATTTCCTTAAATACGATCATTATCTCAACCCATACTATCGTCATTTGATCATCATGATCAAATCGGGAAAATATCGACCGAATGTTGACAATAATTCGAAGACAACTATACAGAAGAAGAAATCGAATAAAAATGGTAAAAGAACAATTGTCGATAATTCATCTCTACTCGTTGTAATTCTTTTCCATTTAGGTTTCGATCAGAGTAGTAGCCATGATGAAGATGACGGTGGGGATTCCTACTTGCATCCATTGTTACGTGGTAGTGGCGCGAATAGTGATAGTCCATGTAGCACAAAGAAAGCCGATGAAAGCTTACGCATACCAGCTATTCCAGTGAATATTCATAACACTGCTTATGGACAATTGATTAAGAAATACGAACACCTGAGGCCTCGTGACAAGTAAATTGAATATTCTTTGTTTTCAAATGCAAATAATTCAATATTTCAGAGTTGTCAAAGAAAATGAAGACGACAAAATGTCGCCCAGATCGGATGACGTCTCATCGTATGTATCAATTAATACCGCACTCTGGTCTTTTACTTGACTCTTCCTTAGACCAAGATCAGAATCATCTCCGTCAACTACGGTCATTCCACCACCGCCTGATGTCAAACCCATCATTGATAAATTGGCGGAATACGTAGCACGCAATGGAAAGGAATTCGAACAATCCATTCGAACAAAAAATGATCCACGTTTCGGATTTCTCGAACGTGACCATATACACTATAATTATTATCAATTGAAAGCGCAATTGTGTGCAGTAAGTTTGTCTGATAGATTCTTTTCACTATGATGCTTGTCTGTGTGTAGCAAGAGATATCTCGAAGTAAAGCGGAAGAAGATCAACAAAGTTTGTCTAATAATGAGCAAGTTATTCATGGACAAGGTGTAAAACTGATGCTGAAAGCAACAGCGGATGAATCGTCAACGCCGACGTCAAGCCGTGAATTTCAATCCGATGAAGATTCAAATTCCAATCAACAAAGTAATTTCTATTGAATTTCTTATTCTCGAAGGACTTCAAAATAGTTTTTCCCTGACAAATGTACCACTCCGAATGCACATTTTCAAACCACATATCGTGATAAATGATCAATCTGAATGTGTTATATTGCGCAGCACTTGAATGCCTCTCGGCATGAGTACCTATTCATAATATAATCTTTTTTGAGTCAGTGAATAGTTGATCGAAGATGATTATGTCTGTCAGCATTGAGTTGCTAATTATAGGAGCACTTTTATCGATTTGGACGAAATTTCATGCGTAAATATGATTTAGATGCTCAAGATGACAATGGCGAGTTTATTGGTCCACGCCCACCTTCTCCGCAGTTTCTTGAACGAATGCGTAAGCAAGAAGAACGGCGCGATCGTGTTAATGGCTTTGTTCGAGATAAAATCACTCGTGATAAACAAGAAGAACGGAAACGAAAGGCAGAGATGCTTGTGCAACAATTGAAAAGTAAAACAAACGATACTGTGTCACCGACAGCAGCTGTAACTGTTGATTCGAACGAATCGACATCGACATCGACATCGAACAATACCAATCCAGTCTTGATGGAGAAATTACTAAATGTTAAAAGCGAACGTTCATCATCATCGGTAAAAACCTCACCACGGCAATACCATCGTTCAAAGCAGTCGAGATCATCGTCAAAATCTCGAAATCGCTCGAAATACTCTCGTCGGTCAAGATCGAGAAGTAGTCATCGACGCGCGAAGCACTCATCTCACAAGTAAACAGCTAATTGTCACAATGTGTTCTTTACTGACAAATTCTAGACGATCACGTACACGTTCCAAATCTCGAAGTCGTCATCGTTCGAAAAAATCGAAAACGTAAGTAGCTCTTCCCGAGATCCTCTATTGAAAAATCACTTTTTGTTCCATATTTCAACACTTTCATACAGCTAAATATATATGTATATGTATAGTCCTATTCAAATCGCTTAGTCACACACACATACTAGAATCCTAGATTGATCGGATAAGATTGGCAAACAAATTCATCTATCATCTTTTCTTGCAGCCAGGTATCGTAGAAATGGATCATGTTAGCTTTGTTTTTTTCTATCTATTTTCTTGATTCTATCGAATAAAACGAAATTTGTTCATTTCATGTTGCATTTTATAGTTCGAAATCCAGTCGCGATCGTCGCCGGCATCGACATCGCCGTCGTCGGCACTCCTCGTCATCCAGATCGACTTCATCGACTGCTTCATCGGTATCTCGATCGTCTTCATCCACATCTACCTCAACTTCTTCACGTGATAGACAGAAGAAGAAGAAAGTCAATCATACTGATGAAGATCAGCAGAAGAAACCTCAAACATCGTCCAAGTGAGTTTAAACAAGATAAGAGTCTTAGTTTACCTTTTTATCAACGAAGTAAAGTATGACCTTTCGGCGCATTCGATAAGAACAGTATTGATGATTACACGCAATTCAAACCCGCTGACTTTGCACTTTCGAAACGAAACAACAAATATGGAATTAGATCAATCAGATCCTTTTTGTTCTAGATGGGATCAGCGCGAACCAAACAAAGCGAAAACGGAATCTATATCAAGTGAAACGAATTCAGCTGTTTCATCACTACCAATGAACACTAGCGCTATGTTATCGAACAGTACTTCAACTTGATATATATATATATATGTGTGTAAAATTGAAGACCAAGAAAAAAACGATTACACAATGTGAAAATTTTTCTTTTCTCTCTCTCTCTCTCTCTGTCTATTTTGTTGTTATTCTTACTTTTTCTCCTCTTTCTTGATATATAACTAGTCTGATTCAACTTCGACGAATATTTACTGAAATAAAGCAAAAAAATTTTTTTTTGAGAAAGAAGAAAAAGTATAAACCCACTTTCATTTCGTTTCTTTTTTTCGATACGATCAGGATGAAAAGTTTCTTAGCACGATCGTTGTGTTCTTCCATAAAACAAGTAAGACAAATTTACAATTCTATTGTTCATTTTCGATAATCGGTTTTGTCTCAGGCACAACAGGTCAATTGTAGACGATTGAAATGGATTGGACGAGAATCATTACGTGACATCGACCCGGAGATGTATGGATTGATTCAAAAGGAGAAAAAACGACAAATTCACGGTTTAGAAATGATAGCATCGGAGAATTTCACATCCCGCGGTGTCCTTGAAGCGCTCGGGTCGTGTTTGACAAATAAATATTCTGAGGTATTCAGTTCGAGAGAGATTCTCTGTTGCTAATTGAGAGAATTTTCAATTTCTAGGGTTATCCAGGTGTACGTTACTATGGTGGAAATGAATATATCGATGAAATTGAAAGTTTAACACAAAAACGCGCACTTCAAGCATTTGATTTGAATCCTGAAGAGTGGGGCGTGAATGTTCAATCACTATCCGGTGCACCGGCTAATTTCGCTGTCTACACCGCACTTCTCGAACCACACGGACGTTTGATGGGCTTAGATCTACCGGATGGCGGTCACTTAAGTCATGGCTATGCAACATTAACAAAGAAAATATCTGCTACCAGTGCCTTCTTCGAAACAATGCCCTATAAAGTCGATCCTAAAACCGGCCTTATCGATTACGACTTTTTAGCTAGAACATCGAAATTGTTTCGTCCAAAACTGATCGTAGCAGGCATTTCATGTTACTCTCGAAATTTAGAATACGATAAATTTCGTTCGATCTGTGATGATGTTGGCGCAATACTTCTGGCCGATATGGCCCATGTTAGTGGCCTTGTTGCTGCGAAGGTCGTAGCGAATCCATTTGAACATTCCGATGTTGTGACAACCACAACACATAAAAGTTTACGCGGACCACGCGCAGCATTGATTTTCTTTCGACGTGGCATCAAAAAGAAGCAACCAACGAAAAAAGGTGCAAAAGATGATCAAGTAGAAACGTATGACTTCGAAAGACGAATCAATGAAGCGATCTTTCCCGGATTACAAGGTGGACCACATAACAATACCATTGCAGCGATTGGCATTGCTCTGAAGGAAGCTTCTTCAGATGAGTTCAAGTCATATGCTAAACAAGTTGTTAACAATGCCAAGCAATTAGTAAAATCGCTTCAAGACAAAGGTTATGTGTTTGTATCCGGCGGTACAGATACGCATCTAGCGCTACTTGACTTACGCCCTCTTGGGCTTGATGGTGCTAAAACTGAAAAAGTGCTCGAAGCTGTCTCGGTCGCTGTAAATAAGAATACATGTCCTGGCGACAAGTCTGCGCTCAAGCCATCGGGTATTCGTTTAGGTAAATTAAAATCGCAGCATTGTCTAAAATGACTCATCATGCATTGTTTTCTCAGGCACACCTGCATTGACAACCCGTGGCTTTCGAGAGAAAGATATTGTTGAAGTAGCGAACTATGTCGATCAAGCAATCAAATTAGCTGTTGAGATAAACAAATCGAATGATAACAAGAAATCCTCGCTAGTAACATTGAAGGATTTCAAAGAGAACATGAAACGTAGTGAACATGCAAAGAGTATTCAAAACTTAAAACAAGCAATTGAATCGTTTGCCGCAAAGTATTCCATGCCTGGTTATGATGAAGTTTAATCTTTTCAACGCCTATACACGATTATTTCAAGCATTCTATTCTTGTCTTGTCTTCTGCTCGAGAAATGATTTACTCGTGATCTACCTATTCAGTGTTTCTTTTTCATTTCAAAATAAAAATAAACTAACTGCTAGTCTAGCTGGTAATCCTCACACTTTTCAAAGCGGATTCAGTGCAGACGACAGTGCTCTACAAAGCTTAGTCTATGAATAGTACGTCAGAATTTCATTAGGAGACAAAAGCGATGCGAATAGAGATCAATCTTTCAAGAACGTTCTTATTATCCTTACTGAACATGATACGCATTAGAAGACCAAAGCTCACTTTCTTCCTCAATCTAGCGCGTCCAAATCGTCAAGTACAAAATACTTAGGATCTCATGATTCTGTATTATTTGCTAATAAAATCATAATAACTAGAATTTTTAAAATATAGCTATTTTTTCGGTAGTTTTACATAATTAATGAATATAATAAATTGATATATTCATTTGTTTTCAAGGACAATCTGTGGGAATATTTTGCTCGACTTTCTTAATGATGTTACACTTCTCTTCCACCATGTTTCAATCTAATCACGGTAGCTAATAATTAAATAAGTCGATGTACTCATGCCATTCTAATGAAATAAAACAATGACATTCAATGAGCGTACCCAAAATAGCCCGTATCAATCTTACAAATAATTTAAACAGAAACTAACCACCCATCTGCTTTCCCTTTCATCCCATTTAATTATTAACTAAGAAGTTAAACAGACTACTGATTGTCTACAATTGGCAATAAAAGCATATCATCATGATGGCAGAGACAACTAAGTAACATCTAGTGAATTAGTAAAGAAGACCACACATGTGTAGGTTGACGAATTCTCTCAGAAGTCACGCAGGAGAAATTGGTGCGAGACACATGACATATTGAATTAAAGTTTCTTTGTCTTCGATTGATACATATATCACATTTAATCGTACACAATATCGGTGACAATTGCTGTCAGATGTGATTATATCAATTGAGAAAAATAGTTTCTATTTAGAAAATTAATATTAAAAAAAAAGGGGGAGAAAAAGGATAAAGTTCTCATTATGATGCATTTTTATCATAATGCCACACGCGCAGAAAGGTTGTTGAGCCGATTATTCCTCGATGAATTTGTTGTTCGTACGATCAAGATTCCACGTGGACTATCTAGAGTTCTGGAATACGAATAGGAATTGCTATCAGCTTTAGGGGGATTGAGTCGAGACAGTTTTCGTGGATCATCGGATATCATCAGTTGCCTTTGCGTCTGAGTTCGTTTTTGGCAACAATCTTTGAAACAACAACAGTGACGACACATGATTTGCAAAGTATAGCGGAATTTTGAATTCGTCAACGAATAGATAAAAAAATTGATCGAATGATTGACAATTAGCAGAAGATTCGAAAGAAATAATAAACACATGAATATGAATGCTTTCGGATGGCCGCATGGATTTCCATCGATAAGGCCGAATAGTGTCAAAACAAGTACGGGTAGTTGACAAATGATATTACAAAAACATATGATTAGAACCATTCGTGTTATTCGAGATTTCGATTTTAAACGTTGGGCGACGACCTCCGAATGCAAAATGAATTCCTTCGATTTCTTCGTTCCGATTTCCCGATTAACAATACGTATTAACAAAATCCACAGAATCAAGCATATTACCCACGGACCGAGTAAAGATAGTCCAGCCGAGATGACTTTAATTACATCAAGCGCATCACCGTTCGAATGATAACAATAATATGGTACAATTGACAGTATACTAACAAGAAAAATGACGATCAACGCTTTACGTTCGTTTTCGCTCGAACAATAAACTTGCGAATAGAGAGGTTTAACAACAATCATCAGTCGAAACGACGTTATCATGACAACTGAAAATGAAATTTCTTAGCAATATTCGACGCGAAAGGAAAACCTTACCGATCCAGTTTGAGCAAAAGGTTGCGCCTGTTGCTAAGGGCATAACAAACGAGTTTACAAAGCTAATCAAATTAGGATTATTCTTCGGGCCATAATAATATATGATATGAGGAATGCAGGCAAGAGTAGGAGCGACAATATCACTAATGGCTAGCCCTTGAAGTAAATTGTTCACGCCGCCTTTTCGCATTAATCGACGGTTCAGGACAATTAGTGTCAGGATGTTCCCTGATGAATAGAATGAATTTTCAAATCAATTGTTTTTCTTTTTCATGACTTTGAGAATAACTCACCAATGTTTCCTAGAATCATCAATATTAATTGAACGGTACCCCAGATAATTCTTCCCGATAGACCTACCAAGGCATCACCAATCAATTGATCTAAAAGGTTCACAGATAGATTTGAAACGCTCGTTAGTTTGATTTGATTTACCAGCACATATAGTGGTGTTATCGATCGGAAGTAATGCAGATTCGGTGGTCGAATTGGAATTCAAATGAATTGATGTTGTTAGTAGAAGATCAGTATGCATTTTAAGTATTTTCTAAAAGACACAAAGTTAAATTACAATGTGCAAGCCTGTAGCATCTCCAACGGTGGACAAACTCATCAAACTGACAGTGAGTAAAAGGAGAATATTTTCAAAGAATTGTCTCTAATTTCCTTATTTACTAGAGTGTGCGCAGAAGAGACAAGACTATCAACAAGAAACAACTTAACATTTGTCGCATTGAAAACTTTTATGCTAATAGGAAGCAAACTATATCAATATACACAATGGCACAGATCTTCTTAGACTTTTAATGGAAAACCTCTTAAAAGAACACCTCGAAAATAATAGTGCGCATCTGTTAATTTCTTGAATATTTCATAATTTTTCACGGGTGAATCTGTTTGTACTACCCGGTCAAGTCTCAACACTAATTATCTTGTTTTCAAAATCCTATTCTATGTTGCAATCAGCAATCCTTGTACTATGGTAATGAATAAGGAAGAGAATTGTCTTTTTCCTTCTATTTCTCTTCTATCGTTGACAACAGTCATTTCTCTTTCTCGCAAAATAAATATATATATCAGATAACTCATCGTCGCATCACACTAGGATAAAATATTTCCTCATTAGTGTTTATATATTAAAAAGAAACATTTCAAGGCAACATCTTTATATTCCAATAAAAATAGAAAACTCGAGACTCACTTCTTTTCACAATCAAAAAACAAAGGATAAAACCGTCTAGATCATCAAAAGTTGAGAAAGAAAAGTGAACTTACAACAAGAAATTATTCATCAAAAAGGATAAAAGCATGATATTGCATGAGAAATACATGAGCTTTCACGCCACATTTTTAATTTAATCGTTGTTCTTTAAATAGAAAACTTTAGATGACTTATCGCATGAGAGATTATGAGCAAAATGGATCTCTGATAACATAAAAATCGGTGTAATACTTGATCCTTGTCATACTTTTAGAGATTGCTTTCGATGGAGTAATTAGCGTATGAAGCGTATCACGACATATGATGCGAAATAGCTTCTGAAAATCTACTAGAATCAGTTTTCTCTATCAAGAAATAATCGAATAATACTGTGTTAGATGATTGATGAGTAGGCTGCATCCATCATATGTGGGTTTGGTAACTTAAGTAAAACCAAACATAGGAATCTATTCGTGTGACATTGAAAGGAAAGGAACAAGAACAACATTGTCACTACTCTACAGTGATCATTATGGAGGATCCATAAAACTATTTTCTCTCTTGAGATTCTATGCAAAAACACATCGACGAAGCATTCCAAATGATACTCTCATCGTCAAGGACTTCAAAATAGTAAATAGAAAAATAGATGTGCATCTCACCTTACCTATTGTTTGGCTTTGTTCGTCGACAAATGATTTACATTAGAGATGACACCTTTGATATAAATCATAAATACATCTAATTAATAATCATGCATGACTGTTCGCTGTCGTTTGAATGGTCTCTACATTTTATGTATTCTCACATTCATCTTCTCATGTTTTCTAAAGATGAAATCATTGAGTAAATAGCATGTGTTGACCTATATGGAAACCAATGCTTTGCAGTTTCTTCTTAATACGTGATGCTATAATGTTAGATCCGACGGAGAGAACTAGTTAGAACTTTGTGAAGGAGAAGTCCTCGAATCTCTTGGGTTGCTCATGTCTATTCAAAAGCATAGTGGTGGTTGTTAAAGAAAACATTCGAAAGATCCCGACGAATTGCAATCGATATGCTTGGTAACAATTAGGAATTAGTATGGCGGAAGGCAATTATTTTCATATATAGCGTATCGTTTGAAAGACAAACTGTTCCTGATAGTGCACTAGACAGCTTCATAATTATCTGGTAGAGTTCATAACCTGTATAGAGAAATTTTGCAAATTGTGATAAATATGTCATAAACATAGGCATAGTCATGAACCTGAGCACGATAGACCGACATCTCAGAAGTGGTTCATCCTAGATCGCTTCAGTCCATCTAGAGACATGTAAACACCTACCTTTCATATACTAATAGTTAATTTCAAAAACTGCTTAGTCATGTGATAGAAGAGAAGATCTACTTGGCCTATCTGAAGTACTTACTAATGAGAATGCGTCAAGTGGATAAAACCATATTCAAAGGATAGTTGGGGGTTCTCATGATAGAAAAAGCCTGTGGCAATGATTTATAAACTTCTACTCATTACCAGAATGATAAGTAGGATGTCAAAACAAAGCTCTGACATATTTACATGCTTTAATTTTGATGTCAATAGAAAATTTTATAGAGAGCTCCCACTAAGAGAACTTAATTTAGCTAAAAGTACCGATGTTTAATCTGCAAATATATTCTAGAAAGCTTTTTTGTTTATCTTCCGACATTGAATTATCTACTTAAATTTTTCTCGGAGGGCAGAGAATAGAAACAACCCATTTGCTTACTTATCTCAATAACGAATCTAGAAACTCAAAAGAAAGCACCTTTTCACAATTGTCTCACTCAATTTTTAATCCCGTCGATACTCAAGAAAATTTCATGACTTAAATGGCTGCGCAAAAGCATTATTCACGCTTCCACTATCATTGTTTACGTCGGGCAAATTCGCTCGTCGCAATATCTTTTCCCACAACGCACAAAAAACACACTTTGAATATTATCAATTGTTAAATCCTACTTTGCAGTTAGACGGCTAACCAATATCAATCTTGAACTACGCGAGCAAATTGATAGAAGGTATCGCAACTACAATTGTCTGACGAGAAGGTTCTTATTCTTACGCGTATTTGCCCACGAGCACCCAACATAAATGAAAGTGATCCGAGCGAGTTTCTCGCTGCATTATATTACAAATAAATGAAATAAAAGAGAACACATATATGGGTGTAAATGTTTTCGCCGACTTTCTCTTCTGTTTGTTCGTATATTGCTATAGAGAGTGTAAACCAACGTTCCAACGTTCTAGGCTAATCAGAATTTCATGTCATTTCCTACGACAACATACAAACGGAAAACAAGATCACAATACCTTCTTGTAGTTATGTTGTTCATTCGAAATTCAAGCAGACGACGAATTCTGTCAGATCTCGAGAGATCACTTAAGAAAATGAAATAATCGCGTTTTCATCTATTTATAGCTGTTGAACATTCGAGAAAGGTTTAATTAATACTATAACGCCCCATCGTTTTCTTATTATTATTCGAATCTTTAATCAGAAATGTTCTCGCGAAAGCTTTTATTCACCTCACGTTTTTTGTGCTGAATTACAGTTCTCTTATCAACGGGCCTTTAATAAAATCTTATCGGATTTGAAGCAACTGAAAAATAGCTAACAAGCAACTTCACCTTTTCATTTTCTCTCTACTCGCGTGTTTATTTCTCTTCGTTCTGACTCGAACAGCATGTGAAAAACAAATCCCTTTGCCTGTTTGCTTTTCTTCTTTATCCGAACTGATTAATAGGCATCACGACGCATAGTTTCAAGACGATCGAGTGTACAAGAACACTGCCGGAGAAGAAAGCAAATATATTATTTTATTTTCAGTTCAAATTAAAAAATAGAAACGAAATATTGTCTCCCATGACAACGTTCGATTCTTAACGTCTCTTGTTTCGTCGGTCGAAAATCGAACAACCTAATTATCTGCACTATGAATGCCAATCCCACGAAAGTAGATGAAGATTTCGATCAAAGAATCTCAATTGATAGTCGCATCTTTTTTGCCGGCACAGATAAAGCTCGTGTGTAAGCGGAGACGACGCAACAAACGTACGATAAAAATCCTATTTTGTTACTTTACCTAGAATATCAGAAATCCTTGAAAAACGCGGCTGGTCTAGAACAAAAGATCGCAATGTAACGAACTTTACTATCAAATGGTGTTTGGCGAATCAGGTCGATTGGACGAAATTTCAGGAGGGAAAACAATTGATCAATAACATACCTGGACAATTAGCTTTTTCGGATAAGATCAATCTTTGGTATACAGTGCGGGATTACTTACAAAAACGATATACACAAAATGGCAAACATATGCAAACTTTTCTTGCAATGACATTTGTTCTAGATGACGAAAACGAAGTAGCTGAATTCCTACGTGTTTATAAAAGTATGAACTCAATTTTGTCTAAACAATATTCTCATGAGTGTATTTTCCACCGAGAACGCGCTATAGAATTACTCCTATGAAGTTCATATTACAAAGAGTTGAGCTCATAAACATCCTACTCGAAGTCGTTTTGAGACAAGAGAGTGAGTCTTAAACATAATTAGTTTTTCTTTGTGTTTAACACAACTATTTACCAGGGAGAATCACAAATATCATCTGCACGCGATAGTTTTTCTATCCAATCAATTTTTGACTTGAAAAACAAAATAAGAAAGATCTTTTTTTTCTGTTTAGAACAAAACCGAACATGGATATATAAACCTCGCTATAACTATGCCGGTCGAGGAATTACCGTTCTACCTGTCCATAGCGATCTAAGTACAATATTCAAATTGAAAGTCGGGGGAAATACACGCTGTCCTTATGAATCTAGACTACCTGGGTATCTAATGCAACAGTAATGTATGCATAGTACGAGGAAAAACTACACTAACTATGTTTCTGCTTTTACCATCGTAGATACATTTCTCGACCATTACTGATAAAAGGTCGAAAATTTGATATACGTGTACATTGGCTGGTCGCATGGACAAAACCTTTACTAGTTTTCTACAATCATAATGCGTCTGTGGTTCGTCTATCGTTGAATCTTTATCGAGAATTCGACTGTGATCGTACTACACACTTAACGAATCTGGTAAGTCGAATAAAGAAGGAAGATCTGCTCAAAATGATTCTGTGATTGTCGCATAGTCAGTACAAGAAAGTCATTCTCGGTATGCGTTTTTACAAGAGTCAACGGGAATGACGATAAATCAACTAAAGTAAGGTTGAACCCTCGGAAAAATGTCTCTATTTAATCAAATCAACATTCTAGTCAATACTTTAATCAATGTTTTCGACCATTTCATCCAAAACTATGCCAAGATTGGGTGATGACTGTGATGCAAGTAAGATAAACATCCAGCTCACAAATCTAATTGCGCTTACCTTATCTCCTACAAAAGCTCACAACAATTAGAATAAGTACAAACAAAATGAGAATCTTTTCTTCTATTGCGTATGTCATCTATTTGAAGTTGAAAGTTAATTTATTTGAATGACTAGAACTTAAAAGCAAAAATAGTACTAAATAAGTTATTAAAATGAAGAATGAGTGGAAAGTAACTTGGTGAACAAAGTGAATGGAAAAGGTAATGAAAGTGTTGCGATCACAAATGAATTTTCTTTTCAAATAAGAAAGAAAATCGCATGAGACACTTCCATGGTTCAATAATTCATCCGCGTTTATACATGATAAACTATTAATCAAAAACATTTTATTTCTTACAAATAGGAACGCATGCAAACCATTATTCGTCATGTGATACGTGCAAGCAAAGATCAATTAGCTCGAGAAGCTGGTCAATTCGGGTTTTTCGGGTGCGACTTCTTGCTAGACGAGAATTTTCGCATATGGCTTTTAGAAATCAACGATAATCCCGGTGTTGGGTAATGTCCTTGACTTACAAGAGACCGTCATTCACCACGGATGTTCTTTGTCCTTTCTTTTCAAAGATGGGGCAATTCATTAGTGAACACAACAACGAAACCATTGATAGAAGAAACATTAAACATTGTTTGTGAATGCTTGGAGAAACATAAAAACAAGCAAGCATTATTACCGATCAATTGTTTGAAAAACTATGAATTGATTTATAATGAGCATGATGATGTGACTCGCTTGCTGATGGATGATAATCAAATCTTTACAGATCAGTATTCAATTCGATATGCAATAAAAGAGACAACACCACGGAAAACACCTCGTCGTGCCGTACCGCACATACACACCAGTCGAACTTCGATATACCGAAATGATTCAACTCATAACAGTATGAACGATCTGATCCTCCCATCTGTGAATATGGAAAACAGAAGTCCATCAATTCTAGCTTTGAACCATCATGCCTCGTCAGTTATAAACATCCTTAGCGTGACAAACGAATCATTAGGCCATGGTGACACACCGGATAACGGAAGCTCAAAAAAGTCAAAAAAGGCTCTGAAAGCTTTTCAAACAAAATCTCCGTTGTTGCTAACGCCTCCGAACGGATCAACCATCCGAGCGAACAAAACAAGTATTAAACAGACTCTTTCCAAAGCGAATACATCTGATACCGAACGAAAGAAACATAGTGAATCACTACCAACAATTGTAGATAAGAAACAATCGATGTATCGAAGCGAAACATTTGTGGACGCGAGTAGCACTAGTCGAAATGAGAAAAAACTGTCAAAACACAAAACGATGATAAAGGATGAACAGGAGAATCCATTAGCAAATGTTAATCCAGGTAAACTTTGCACTTTAAACTAATGAATTTTTGTTTTTGTTTTGAATTTTTTTAAGAAAAGAAAAAGGAAAATGTCATAATGCACCGTTTTATCTTTTAATCAATAATTGATGACGCTAATAATAGATCAGTTCGATGAAGTTCATTCTGAGTCGGGGGAAAGGTGTCGAGTTTGAACAAGCGGTATGCTTCGGATTTGGCCGTTGGGGCTGTTTTACGCATAATAGTTGGAATTTGCTTAAATAGATCAAGATACGATGCTAACTCAAGTTGCAGACGAGTTATTATCGATTGATTCAAATGAAAAGAATTCGTGTTCAGTAAAGAGAATGATTGAAAGTCAAGTTTCGAAAGAATGTACTTAACAAACAATTTCACTTCGTCCAAAGTTCTAAAGATAGATCTGTTTTATTAGATTATAGGCAAAGATTTAGCTTACTGGGCATAAAAATGTACCAATAAATCGTCTTCGTCAACAAATTGAATGAGAACATGTTCGAAAATATTGCCTTGACTGACCCGTACGTACATATTTGACAGAGTCAGAATCTGTTTGAAACCAATGGTGGTCAATAATTGTTGAAAATTTTCGATTAGATGAAACTTTGATGTGCTCTCAATAGTAATACTCAATGAAGATAATGTACTGAAGTAGATGAAAGCTTGACGATACTTTAAATGATAAGCTAAATCTCAAATGCAAGTAAAAACAAACGATTGACTACATGAAAAACTCACCTGGTTCCATTTCTAACGCATTCATGTTCAATATTCGCTCGTTATTTGGATTTATCAAGTCATCTAATGAAACGAATATTGCACCAACACGATACACTTTTTGTGTATCACCAATGAATAAATAGAGATCAATATCAATGTCTTTGTCCAGTTCGATTGATGTTGACAGAATGAACGTTAACGATGAATTCGGATTCAGAGAAAAGATTACTTTTTCATCAGATAGAATTTGTAAGGTAGGTTTTAAATCAAATATTTTCATTTTATTTGAATGCTTCTCAATACTGAACAAGTTGACAGATGCCAATGGATCACTAGTCGAAGAAGAAAAATGAGCGAAACGAAAGATTTCTCTCATTACCTGCTGCTGTTTTTGATTGTTACATAGAAGAAAAGCTGCTTTCGATAGATGAACCAATTGGTTTCCGTTAATTGAACATTTGAACTTGAAATCAAACTATCCGAGGAGATTCGATGAGTCTTTTGACTCAGTTTTCGAATATCGTTTTCGATTTGTTTACATTGAGAATAACCTTCATTAACGATATAATCTGCATTCTAAAAACGATCAGATGTCTGATTTTAATCGTAGATCGTCGAGTTTGTCTTACAATGATCTTCTTTCGAAGAATATCTTGTGCGATAGCAAGACTGTGCTGCATGTCAGAGTCGTCGGTGTCCATCGAACGGTATTTTTCATCAATCTGAAAGACAGACGAAAACGTGTTGATTCGTTTTTGCTTCGTTAGAACAATCTTACAGACATGATAGTCGTAGTCGGATTCTTGTTGGAAAACGTGGACTTGGGAGAAATCTGTGAGGATAAAATCATTGAAATCGTGACTGTTCTTTAGAAATAAAACTTGTTTCCATCCAATTTGGGTAAAATCATCGATGAGAAGATAATCAGCTGTTTCATGCGGCGGGTTAAATGGAATGAAATTCAAATTTTTATCATACTGATGAATCTCAATGGATTGAAGATCTTGATTTCTAAAGAAAAACAATTGTTCATTTTCGATTGTTTGATAGGATAACATGGAGCTAATCGATGTATCTCGTTGAATTTCTTGAACTATATTTCCATTATGACAAGACAATATACGATGATCTTTACTGAAAAGAATAAGATCGCCAACGATCGAACGAGATTTTAGTTGAAGTGTATGTTTGATAATGTACAGATCAATAATATTATCAAGATGCGAAATAGGAATGAATTTATCCGTATGAAAAGAAACGAGTGGAGTTGCTAATGAAAGTGAATTTCCGTAATAAATCTAAAACAGAACGAAGTTTTGTGTTTTTGTAGGCGAAGTCAAACCTGTTTACTTTTACAGTTTTGTCATTGGTATTCGAATCAATTTCATGGCCCATTAACCAATAGTAATGATTTTGTAAATAACAATACAAGTATGTTAATAATGAACATGTAATAAATTCAATCTTCTTTTGACCTTTGCCTTTCTGATTGTCGATTAGATAAAATCCATTCGGACATTTCTCGTCGTCAATAAAGATGCTCATGTACGAGTTCGTTGCAAGAAATTTCGCTGATCCATGAAGCGAAAGAGTATAAACTATCTGACATATCCATGGACGTGATTGGAATTGAAGACAGACTAATGCTAAACTATTCGAAATGACGAGTTGTAAAAGAACGAGAAGGCCTTTATCAATTAAACATGAACCAACAACCGTACATTTCGATGATTTCATTGATATTGATGGTATTAACGGTTTCTCAGTGCTGTTCGTAAATTTTTCGGTCGCTGAATCGTAATTAAAGATGTTTATTTGAAGATAACCAGTGTCATTTATTTGAAATTGAAGGATACAACCAGCATAGGCCAAAATGTTCAGCATTGTTCTTTTCCGATCGAAAAAGTCTAGAATGTACACATATGAGAACGACCTTCTTCCGTCTCACGATGCTCAGTTTGAATGATCTGTGAAATGTAAAGATCTGGACTGTTGTTCGTAGATCAGGATGGAATTATTCACCCGTATGTTTCTTTTTTTATTGTATCGTCTTTCAAAGATGTTACAAAAAGACAAATTTCATGATGTTTCATACAAAACAAAGCGGAAAAAAGCGAAGAGCAACGACTCGACTTTATTCTTCATCTTCATCACGTTTCTTGAACATATATGTCACACAACATTTACCACAGTAATTACGATCATGATGTGCAGCCATAAATACTCCGGCACCGCATTGTTTTGATGGACATTCCCGACGTAAACGACGGATTTTGCCGGTATCTTCCACCTAAGAAACGAGAAAACATACGAATGTTCTCTATCGGTTCACTCGTATCTTACTTTATAGTATTTGAGTACAGCCAATTTGACTTTCTTGTGTTTGTGCTTGTTTTTCTTGGGTGTATTGTATGATTTCTTCTTACGTTTTTTGCCACCACCCTCAAGATCAAGTAAAACGTAGAGTGTGCTTTCCTCTTCAACGCGACATTGATCAAGTGTCAATTCATCATCTAATGTAATGCCGCCTAATGTCAAACGTTGTTCATCAGCAGGAATACCTAAGAACAAAAGATTTTCAAAAAGACGAATGTCATTTTGGTGCTTCAATTTACCTTCGCGTTGTTCAACAAGTTCTTTAACATCATTGACTGTATCGTCAGATTGAACATTGAGTGTCAATGTTCGATCATCCAGAGTACGTACAAAGATTTGCATGGCTGCTGCAAATAACTGAAATCTGAAATACAAATACATGTGACATTAGTGGAACAAAATGCTATGTGACTGTAAAGCTTGACAAAGGAAATTAGTATGAAATTTAATGGCTAAATCAATGTGAATTATATTTTCGTGTCAGATGAATCAAAGCTACGAATGAATATCAGTCTTGTTTGATTGTTTGTTTTTTTGTTCGTTCAAGTTCATGTTGTCGATAATTAGCATCGAGTTGACAAACGAAGTCAATTAAACCATTAGCAAATGAATCCATTATTGAGTGAAATATACAGACTAATAAAACATAGAATTTGATTTTGATATATGCATATGTGCAGTATGACCAGAAGAGAATAAATAAACACCAGAGTAGAAAGACTGAACGACGTTTAAAACGTATTTTCGATTCAACAGTTTCGTCATTGAATCGCTTTGATCGCGCATCGAATTCATTAGTTTGACTAAACCTAATCGAAACAAATGAAAATATGCTTGTGCTGTTCATCCGGTTCTGTCTTACTCTTTCAAACGAGTTTCCTTCTCATCCCAGCGGTTTTCCAGCCATAGACCGATTTCCTCGTCGGTTTTAGGCAAATCTTTGATCATATAACGTTTGATATGAAAATGAACTTGCTTGGGAATGTAACCATTCAATAAATCAATTTCCCGTTCAGGAATGTGTCCTTCATAACCTACAGTTACATCGTCGACTGAATCGAGAATATCACCTACGAAAAAAAAATTGATCGATTCAGTTCGGTTTTGTTCTACGACAAGACAAACCTGATTGCATTGTTTTCAAAAGAAAGATAAATCCATTTAGACGTGGATGAAGACAATATTCATACGGTCGATTGAAAGTCGACTTTTTCGCAGCATATATATTACTTTTGTCTTTTGCATCCGATGTAAAATTGGTACCTTCAGGAAAGATTAACAACTAAAACAAGATTCACATTGAATATGAACTTCAAATCTAATAAATGTGAATTCAAATCTCATGTAGGTGTTTTCTTGAACAATATTAATTACAATAGAAAAACTGATATTGCTAGATTAAACATCTCATCTGCTGTTTCTATTCGATAAAGAGAAGCAAAGCATTGGATGACTTGCATCTACATCGAGTTCGAATAGATAAATAGATTGTTGCTTCTTCGATACGTACGGAAAGCGATGATTGACATGATTTGTAGTATCCCATGAGATTTTTTATTGTGACTTGATCTTTTTCCCAAGCACGGTCCAGAAACAGATAAGCTGCGTGCTGCATAGCCCAACCTAGAGTAATGACATAACCATAATTTAGTCATTGTTCGAATTACTTACCTGGACCAGGGATATGTTTGAGGCTAGCTTTGAGAACGATTTTCAATTGTTCCAAAATTTCAAAACGACTATGTACCATCCAAATGAACATCCAGTCGAGTCTTGTTCGATGATTTAATATGATTATTGAACGTTTTTTATCGTTCGTTAGATCATCGCCAGTAACAGCAATCTTAATTCCTAACAAATCTTCCAAGAGGCACTATAAAATACGAGAAGATGGAATTCTTTGTTGAAATAGGAAAGCAAGCGAGATCATACAGTGACCATTAGCAAGTAGGAACCCATGGCCGTCGAACACCATCGAAAATACAAGCGTCGATTGAAGAATATCAAAGGTACAGCAGGCGTTTGAGCGAAAACAACACCAAAGAAGGCACCGACCGCCATAATGGCGTAGAAGGTTAAAACTTTTATAGAATTGATTAAAGACAACATTGTTGTTAAAATTTAAATGTATTTAACCATCTCATCCAATATAGATGTTATATTTGTTTAGAAAACATTTCGGTTTTTTTTGGTAATAAACTATGTTTTTCTCTGGACCAATCATATGATTTTTTTCTATCAAATTCTTCCTTCTTCGAGAATATGGTTGAACATATGTTCGGCTAAATAGTAAATTTACTTCATATGATTTTTATCCGAAAATAACTAAGAAAAATCGAAGAGTTTTCACAATTATTAGCGCTTTTCAACGATCAAAAGAGGAATCATGCTATCATATGATTCGTTGACAGAATCGACCAATTAAATGAGCTCGGGTAGAATATAGTGTTGTAAATTGGAACAAGGTTGCTGACACGTGTTATTTTATAAATCATATTGATTATTTGTAATATGCGTGTCGCAATAATTGTTCTGTTTGTATTAGTCTGTCGAACAGATGGACATGGTCAACATGGTGCACCCGGTAATTCACCTCAGGGTGGACCAGGACACGTTCCACGAAAAATGGAAGATTATGTGCATGATATGGAGTGAATAACTAGTTCTTTTTAAAGGTGATTTATTCTGGTTATTTTTCTTTAGTCATATTCGGCACGATCTCGAAGGACAAATCAACAAACCGAAAGACCAAATGACACCGGAGGAGCAAAATTTCTATTATTTTAAACTACACGATACGAATAATGATAATCGTCTCGATGGTTTAGAAATTGTTGCTGCTTTCAATCATGTACACCAAGAAGATAACGACAATAATAACAATACTGCGACAACTGCTCAAACACCAGAACATCACGAACGACTCGCTGATGAAGAACTCATCAGACTAGTAGACGACATACTCAAGGAAGAAGATCGCGATCGTGATGGATATATCAGTTATGAGGAATTTAAACGGGCTATCGAAGGTCACGCGAAATAATCGGATTAAAATCTTGTGAATCAAATAATTTATTGTAGTTCTTTTAACTAATTGAAAAAAAACCAACAAGACATTCCTACCGACGAAATTATTTTCTTTTATTCCGTTAGCTAGAAATTCAAACAAATTTTGTTTTCTGCTCTTGCTGTTTTTATTTTCATGTTTCTCATCTATGTTGTTGATCTGTTGTTATTTGTTGTAACATTCTATTTAGCTTCATGTTATCAAATTTAACAACCAAAATTTCAAATAAAATCAAAATACATCGATGATCATACACATACATCACTTTGATCAAAGAAATGTCCGCAACGAATAGCAGACAAATTTCATCAAGATATCAATTTGAAGTTTCAAACATAAGAGAGTATTTTATGATTGGAAATGCTGGTCTCAATGTTGGTTGCTAGTATAGTTGAGCATAAATACGTAAGATAGCTTGTTTTGAGGTCCATACAAACATGTCTTTGGTACATTCCAGTCTTAGCTGGCATTTTCGAGATTTTTAATCCTTTCAAGACCTTTAATATGATGTCACATGGGTTTTTGCCTCTCGATTGACTCATATATATAATGCAAAGCATTGTGTGTTCTTCTTGTCTTTTCTTATCGTCGGATTTTCTCCCATGTGTTTATTACTTAAATCAACGCATGTTTAAATTCAAACTGGTTTCCTGGCGCTGTTAAATATCCACCATCTCTTTCCCCCCGCTCTTTATTTATTATATGTCGTAGTTCGTTATCGTTTTCGATAGACAAACGAATTCTATCGAATTATTTCATCCCTGATACTTGTCGTATTCTAATCCGATTCGAAACACACACTACAAGATTCATCCTAAGAGTAGAACATGGGTCAAGCGTATTGTTCTTGTCCAATTCCGGAACTTTATTTTCCTTCATTCGATCAGCAAGTCAAAATCTTAGAATTACAAAAGGATATTAACGAAGTCTTTTCATATGTTGTATCAATAACTCAAAAGGTAGGAGGTCAATTGGGTATTCCACCGCAAGTTTTCTCCCTAATCGGAATACTTTCAAATCAACAGGAAATCAAAAAAGCCCTTCTATGGGCGAAGATTGAAGCTCGCCTTGCAGAAACTGCTGTATCACAATTAAATGCTAAAATTTTTGCTATCAAACACCGTTTAGATATTCTCCAGAATCCAAATATTACGAAAGAATGTCGTCAATTGGAAATTGTTCCAGCAATTCATTCATCTGATGAAATTTTATATCTTTTTGGTGACAAATCTTATGTCTTCTTTCGCTCTCCTGTAGCAACCATGCCGTACCTTGCGGCATTTCTCGCTGTTTACAATGTTATTCTACAAATAGCTATTGGAATTATTCCTAATTCATATGGAGGAGTAGAAGAACAAAGAAGAAAGGAAGAAGTTCGACAATTAATTAATCAATACAAAAGCGCTTTTTGGGTATCACGTTTTGCAGTTATTGAGACAGTTACTGTCGGACAAGGAACAGAGTGGAATAGTGATGATGGTGCTGTAATTGACGCATACAATAGGAAAGAGGATGAAGAGATGCAAAAATGTGGATGTTCAGAAGGAAAGACAAGGTATATGGCAGCTCTTCGATCTACTTATGAGGCATACTTTGCGACTATTCTACAACCATTTTAATCGTTACTTTTTTAAAGTTCGTTGAGAAATTTTTTTGTCATCTAAGCGGTTTGTATTTCAATACGGTTTTATTTTGTCTTCAAATATCTTAAGTATGTTTACCTTTGATAATGAAAGTTTGCATTAAAGATAACATTTCTCTATTTATTTGCTTGTTTTCTCCTTTTGTCGGTATAGGATCGAGAATCGAAAATTGTTATCTAAGATATCGGTGGTCTAAACTTACCCATGACTCTACGCGTCTGGAATATAATTTTATTTCTTCCAATATTGTTATGCTCAACCAATTCCTCGTATGTCCCACCACGAATTGAAATGAAACGTCTTTCGAATATTCCTCTCATATCATCATGGAACAATAATTCAGCATTCCTGTACAATTACAATAGTGCATTCATGCCAACTATAAATGATTCCGATGCAGTGGCGCTTCTAGTACGAGTACAAAACTTGCACAGCGGATCGAAAAGTATCTACGATGTCGGTCCGAGTAGATTAGCATTGAGTCGAAGTCTAGACGATACTCATCTGAAATATTCATATATTTCTGAACAAGACATCCTCATTGATACGGATCGAGAATATCAAGCAATTGGAGTGGAAGATCCTCGAATAGTATTGTACAATAACACTTATTATCTGTAAGAGTTTAGTAATGAACACATGCTAATCAGATTGTTTTGTTGCATAGATTGTACACGGCTTTGAGTAGTGATGCACACGGTGTTTGGCGAGCGCAATTAACATTAGCTACTTGTAAAAATAATTGCTTTACGAAAGGTAATTGGATATATTACGGACCGTTATTTCCTAATGTGTTCTGGAGTAAAAGTGGCAGCTTACTGATTCATAACGAAACTCATCGTTATTTATTTTTCAATGATTCAAACATTGCCATTGCTCGAACGAAAGATCTTATTCATTACGATCTTTCATCTACTTTTCTTCTTACTACTCGTCCCGATCATTTCGATTCCGATCTCGTCGAGGCTGGGCCACAACCATTGAAATTAAGCGATAAAAATTATCTTTTTCTTTACAACTCCGGTCGACAAGTAACGACACCAAATCCTAAACCTGGCTGGCACATTCAATACAATCTAGGTTGGGCAATATTGAACGGTGATGATCCAACACAAGTTTTAGCTCGTAGTGAAGTACCGATTCTCTCGCCAGAATTAGACTGGGAACGATGTGACAACACCTCAGGAGAATGGGCTAATCGAGGATTGACACCGTTAGTAGTCTTCATCGAAGGCTGGAAACAGACAGACGAAGATACATTCCTCGTCTGGTATCAAGGATGTGATTCAACCATGGGTCTCGCCGAGCTTAAAGTACACTTTTCATAGACTGGATGATTCTTCTTTTTCATGTGATATATTACGTGGAGACTAAAAACCGTTGTCTTTTGTACATGTATAATGAAATGTCATCTAATGTGACATTACAAATCGAAGAGCAAAAAACATCCATATGTATATAGAATAGTTAAAAACGCGTCTATCACCTGTTACAGAACTCTTTCGTTTCGAAGTCATTAGTTTTATCCATGATTGTACGGATTCGAGTGATGATTAAGTAAGCTGGATGATAGATTGTGCATACGCATGTTTCTTGTGTATTCATCTTCTGTATGTGGATGTTGTGTTGAATATTGAGAATGAAATGGCATTGTATTATCCTAAAGAGAAAGAATTCAGCGAGATCTCTCATACCATTCTATTCGTAGTTCACTTACAATCGTTGAACGAACGTTAAAATCACATGCTGACGGCGGAAATGGCGAATAGAACGCCGCTGCTGCAGCAGCCGCACTAGTAGCTGGATCAGTTGCCATCATGATACTCGTTGGCGATGATGTCGATGCATTTCCTCGACTGCCAAACATCTGATGAAATGTTGATGATGATGTCGGATTGGGTGAAAACATTTTCGATGTCAGACGAGCAGTCGACGACAAGGAAATGCCGCCCGATGATGACGAATTATGAGATTGTTTACGAGCCTTTGCTCGTCGATTTTGAAACCACACCTAAAAATTAAATTCAACAATCATTAGACCGTGTAGCAATTCGATTCATCATGACATGTGTGTGGAGGAAAGTATCATTACGAAGAAGAAGAAAATGACACCTAGTTCTATTGAGTCTAAAGAAGCAGTCCATATGTCCACGTTTTGTTGAATTCGTTGCCGCTATGATGCCGATTTCTTGTCTTTTCTTTTCTTTTTTTTTTCAATGAACAGTTGTTCGGAACGACACGTCTCGATTCAAATTACAAGCGCAAAGAAAAAGTGAAAGAATGTGTAAGAAAACGAACAAGAGTAATAGAGAGAGAGAACGATGCAGCTAAAATGAGTACTGAATGTGTGAATTAACGGCATGCAATCTGAAAATAGAACTATCAAATGAACCGTGTTACCATAACAGACGGCATGCAATTTGAGTGGAAAATCAGTGTAAATGGAATCAGAAAATATGCATGCAAACAGTTTTCATCTGTGCCTCGAGGGAAATGTTGAATAGAAATTTTGAAAAAATATACAACTGACTATCGCATTGTACTTGACTTTTTTTTTCTCTCTAGGAAAAGCGAGGATGAATAAGTACCTGAATACGAGCTTCGTTCAATTTTGTCGTACGAGCTAACTCTTCACGTAAATATATGTCAGGATAATGGCCTTTGGCAAATGATGATTCAAGTTCGATAAGTTGTTCTTGAGTGAACGTTGTTCGATGTCGTCGCCGTGCTGACGTATGATTGCGCTGTTGGTTTTGTAAATGTTGCTCATGTGGCGGAAGAAGGTGTTGTTGATCCAGCGATGCACCAGATGCAGTTGTCGGTATGGCCGATGAAGAGGATGGAGGTGGGATAAATGAATGATTTATCGTTGAACCGTCATGTTGTTTCGTTCGTTTGAATGCACCAGTATTTACTATAAAAAGAAACAAGAGAATGAATCGATTTATTGGTAGTTTCTAAAAATAATCATAATCATAATTACATGAAGTAATTATATAATTGTTATTTTCCAACATAGTCTTGCTTTTTTGTATCGTATAGATTCAAAGAATTCGATTACTGTGCTCTGATAATCTTTCAACAAGATTGTCTTCTTTCTTTTCTTTCTATCTTCTTTTTGAATCGGTCGGATAACTCAAGTATTCGTCGTTCAATGAGAGAAGAGAAGAGAAGAGAAGACGCGCATTGCAAATGAAAAATGACAAGGAGAAAAAGAAGAAGCAGGAGAGAAAAAAAAACGATGAATGGTTGCACGGCGGATGTGCTCCGTTCAACATGATAATCAACGACCAATCGGCATGATGTTTTATGCAGCAGCATCAGTTTGATCTCGTATACATCTCGACAAGAGTATTAAAAAGAAAAAAAGAAAACATCGAACAAGAATTTAGATTGCAATCAACTAGCGATTGTTAGTTGGACTTGATGAAATAAGACAGTCAGATAATTATTCATTCAAAGATGAATTTCTGATGAGTTTTCTTCGAAGAAAAAAACAAGACTTTACTTTGCTACGTTCATTTGTACAAATTGGACATTGTTCGGTTGATATTCGGTCATGTTTGATTGTATTTACGACATCAGGAGTAAAAGTATTCGCGTCTGATGCTCGTTTGTGCTTTGTTCATCTCTTTATATATATAGATATGTAGCATTTTTTTTCTCTTTTTTTTTCTTTCTATAAGAAGAATGAAGTGGATCAAAATTAGATTTTTGTACTACTGTAAAATTTGATTACTTCCAGTGAACACATTAGCAAGTGTGAAGAAAATCGGGAAAAGGGTGTTACCGTTACAAGACTTGTTTGAATTCAACTTTCACAGCAAGGAACATGAACATCGTTGATTTCTAGGTTTCAATCCTATCGAGTAAATCGCTGATAAATAGCGAAATATTTGCTAATCGCTTGTGTAGAATAAGAGTTTATATTGAATTAGTTGTTATTATAACAATGAAATTAACTAAGTCAGATAAAGAGAGAAGAGAAAAACTGATAAATTTCTCTTTTTTTCTCTTTGTATCTTTTTTTGCATTCTTTATTCAGAGAACAAAATGGCACAGACATATACAGAGGGAGATATTTTCACTGTTAAAAGGTAAGACAAATACACACACACACACACACACACACACTGTTCAAGCCGGATAATGAAGCATTGATGTATGATCAACACGAAACGATGAGAGACTTTTATTGTACCAATCCGTATCTTGAAAAGCTAATGGATTGTCCTAGAAGAAAAGATGATGGATAGTGTCTTGTGTAGAACTCATTGATTCCTACCTGCCGGATTCCAGCAGTGAGTGGCGAAAATTGCGAATATGCAACTGCTGATGGTGGATATCGTATCTGATTTGAAACAACTGAATTCGTGCCAGTAGGCGTTGATCCTGTTGACCCATATTGGTACGGTCTTCCAGCTGATGTCTGATAGAAATTTCTCATCATTGCATTGCATGGCGAGATAACTGGAGAAAGAGCTTTTTGTAATTGTTTTTCTTGTTTACGATATTTCGCTCTTCGATTTTGAAACCAAACCTTAGGAAAACAAATGCATAGATCAAGTCACGTTCATTTCTCTGTGTTATTTTGTCTTCGATGAAGCTATTGGCTAATAATATTTGTTGATACATGCGTATTGAATTGTCAATGCACGAGCTAATCGATAGAGGACGAGAACGACAAGACTTATCTTTTTCTCTCGTGTATTGATGTAGTCGTTTTCTTGTCGGTCGACTGCACATACTCATTAGAAATCTATTCTTACGCGACGATGGAGTTTGAACGCTTGATTCAATTATCAAACTATGTGTGCGTCGATGTACTTGGACCATTCGTTCTCATCTTTTTTCTTTCGGTCTATCTTCTACAGGCAATGCTTCACTCGACATTTCCTCTTATGCTTGTCAATCACACAGACATCTACGACATATAGATGGATGTCGGAGAAAAAAAGTTTTTCTCGTCTTCTTCTTCTTCTTTCTGTTGTTCGTCATACTAACTTGAATGCGAGCTTCGTTTAATTTTGTAATTCGAGCTAGTTCTTCACGACAGTATATATCTGGATAATGACTTTTCCCAAACGCTGTTTCAAGTTCAGTTAATTGTTCTTGGGTAAACGTTGTTCGATGTCGACGTCTTGCTGGTGTCGGACATTGACTGGTTGGATTCGATAGTGAATGATGGGAAGATTGACTAGAATTCGTTGAATGTGCGGGAGAAAGATTGTTGGAGTTGTTTGATGGAGTAGATTGTAAATTGAGAGGTGGCATCGACACATGCGGATAATGAGAATTGTAGGGTTGTAATTGATGATATGGATGAGTGTTTAATAAAAGAGATTCATGTTTGATTTTCTTAAATGCTCCGCTATCGGATTGGCCTAGATAACCAAATTATTTTCGTGTTATCTGAAGTTTAAACAAACCTGATGGATTGGAAATGAACTGTAAATTCGAGTTAGGAGATTGACTCATGAGATTGAATGGTGATGATGCGCTTGGCATCGATGAGGAAGACGATGTTATTGTTAGTGCTGGCTGAGATAGAGTTCGGTTGAGAGCATAGAAAGTGGCGTACGGATCGTCGGATGTATTCGCTGGTAATCTGAACGGTGTCGAAACATTGCGTTTAGAATCACATCCTGAAGTGTCGGAATTAGTTGTATTGTTTGTTGTACTCGAAGTCAGACTTGCCGCTGCTAAGCCAATTGCTGCAGGTGTAGTTGTCGATGGTCCACAATCATTGACTGTATTCGATGTATTGTCATCGTTATTGAATGATGATGATTGTGAGTATGTCGTGTTGTTTGTCGTAATTGACGATGATGATATTTGATTTGTCGCATTGTGGGTTAAAGTTGACATTTTGTTTTGTATGTGTTGATCAAAATTCAATTATTCGTTATTCATTGATAATGATTATTATCTTAGTAAAGAGAAAAGCGAATAAGTGGTTAAAATATGATTTGCCCGTTTTCTTCTCGATCTAGTCGTTTTTCTTTATTATATCATTATCAACATAGAGTATTCAATTTCTAAGGCTCTTAATTTGAGGTGACTAATTTTGTTAGACGAGAAATCAACACTTATACTACTGATAATAACTTCAAGAACAAGAAGAAAGAAGAAGAAGAAGAGTACTACGTAATTGACAAAGGCAGTAAGAATATATCGACAGCGGTGAAAAGAAGATGATGCACGTCCGATAAGTCGAATGCGAAACGAAGGAGACAACTTCATTAGGAAAGAAGAGAACTCGCAAAAGTTGCAGCTTACGAATGAAATTTACTTCCATTAGCCTAATGTTGTTCCTACTCACATACACATTGATGTTCCTGAACATTGTAGCTAAGAAAGCTCTTGAGAATCAATGCATTCCTTTTCTTCCTCTCTTTTTCTTTCCTCTACGTTACCATCTCTTTTTTTTCTCCAGTTTAGTTTTCTCCTCCAATGGGAACTAGGATGAATAAGAGCGATCGATTACTATTGGGTAAGATGAAATACGAAAATTTTTTTTTCCAGAAACAACAACTGCTGTCAGTTTTTCTTTTGGTGCGTGAAGAAGAAAGGAGAAGAGAAAAGAATGGATTGCTTTGTAAGACAAGTGTTGTATCGTTGTTCACGTACGATGAATTATTCGAGCAGATTTCGTTCTCGTTAGGGTGCTATCGACTGGTCATCGATTCTCAGATGACAACGCCGATGAACAAGTTGCATTAATTGAGCGATTGCCACAAGCGTTTCTCTCTCTCTCTCTCTCTCTGTCTCTTTTTTTCTCTATTCATCTGTTCAGTGTAATGCTTGAGGCAGAAGTGCGAGAGATTCTCTTCTTCATTAGACCACCTACTGAGGAAATTCAGACGAGAACGAAACTGCCAAATGGTAACTACATTCCTTCTTTGAAAATATCAACTGAATCGACAAAAGTTGAGAACATTGGATAGTTTTCATCAGCACTTCGCATTTTCACAGATATGAATTTACTCGAATGTTTCAATGTAACAAATCTATTAGGTATTTTTACTATCAAACGTAGAAAAACAAACAAAAGAACAATGTTGATATGGTCAAATGCCAGATCGATCAGGTTTTGGTTTGGTAAATTGCGGTGCACGCCGGATCTTGTCGAATTTTGGTCTAAAATATAAATCAAAGCATCAGATATTTCCATTATCAGGTCATCGATAGATTTACGTTTGTCTAAACACAGCTGGATGTTCGTTAAACATTTGTGCTAATTGTTCCGTTTCCAAGCGGAAATCTTTCTTCGTTACTTCTTTTTTATAAAATCGATTCTCATAATCTTGTCGAACTTGACCACTGAATACATCACTGTCAGCCTACAATAGACCACATACATACATACCGATAGGTTCAACATACTGTTTTACATACTTGTGCAAAACTCGCATCAGTGCGATCGATGGGTTTAGTGAATTCATATGGATGTGGTTTTTCCGGATGATAACAAACGATGTGATTGGTATCAGGTGCCATCGCAATACACGGATTTGGTAGATTAGTAGTAGAATCTGACGAGACGAATGCCGACAATGTTTTTGTTGTTAGAGGTCGTGCTAATAGTCTTTGGCAAAGAATTCGATACATTTTCAATCTGGAAAAAGCGAATTAACCTATATTCTTATTGATGTTGTTTTTCTTTTCTGAATAAAATGAGATGTATGCAAGTTAGACCAAGTATATGCAGAAAAAAACGAACGAACGGACAAATAGGGATGGAAGAGTATCAACTGAGATCCGTGATCAACTAAAACTTCCGTTTTTCTAGTAAATTTTCGAATATGTTGTGAAGAAAACAAAAAAAGGAAGAAAATCAACAAAACAAAAACACAAGATGCTGACATGTTGAAGTAGCGGAAATAGAAAATAAATAAAACGACGAATATGCTTCATATTGGTTCGAAACACATGATAAATTGACTACAATTCAGGTCTATTAATATATCATAGGTCTTTTTTAGCGGCATCGCCGGATGGTTTGGCGTATTTGTCT